AACTCAAAACACACATATAGGGCTGTAAACGAGTTGGGTTGAGCTCGAGCCGCCCTTGGCTGGAGATTGAATTTTATTAATTTTATTGAGCTCGAGCCGCCCTTAAGTTTATGAGTTTAAGCTGGCATGCGAGCTGGCTTGTTCATTGTAAAGTGAGGGAATGATGTTAATCAAAGCTAGCTATATAATAAGATGAAGAATATAATGAAAAATCTGAAGATAAATAATAAGAAATGACATGAGATATAATACTAAATATTATTTTCAAGAACTTTTAATATCTTAGAGATGAAGTCTTTAAATTTAATACAATTTAATTATTTTTTATATTAATTTTTTTTTTAAAGGAGCCGACTTACCAGATAACAAATTGAACCGAGGTTAGCTTGAGCTTGGCTTGTTAGCTCATCGAGCTCAGTTCACTAGCCACTTATTGAGCCAAGCTTGAGTCGGCTTGACTCACTTTTAGTTCTTCACATCTTAAATGAACTACATAGTAGTCTTAGAATCACAAATATTACTCTTTGGGCTCGCTTCTTTCACAAAAAGAAAAGTATATAAAAGTATTAATATAAAATATATAATTAAAATATAATAAAATTTGAATATTTAATATGCACAATGTTATTAATTTTTTTTTAAAACAAAGTTGACTTATTTACATCCCTAATCCAGACTGTGCTTAGGTTATCAATTCGCAATGAAACATTTTAACTTCTCCTCGACAGATTGTGCTTCATTAATTGTTGGATAAATGGTACTTACATGACTTATGTACGTCTCCTTTAAGCATCAAATCGATGGATTGCCCAAGATCATGTCGAGCGACAAGTCGATATCAATAAGCTACTCGTAGATCGGCTCAATACTTATTCAAGCTTATTTGATTAACTAATTGAAAATGTTGGATTATATTTATAAATACTCGATTGTTAAATGAACAAGCTTGAACAGCTCATTGTTTGATTCATTTATGTTCACAAACAAAATCATTTAAAACTCACGAATGAGCTTGCTAAGGTCAATGAGCAATTTCATTTAAAGTTCTTGAACAAGATAATGCATAAGCTCGATTAAAATTCAATTTAATGCTTGTGAATAATATTGATTAAAGTTTAATTTAAAACTCGTGAATAAACTTAATTAAAACTTGATTTAAAACTCATTTATATTGAATTTAATTAAAATTTTAAACCATAATATATTGTTGGCTTAATTGTCCATTTATTTACTTATTTTGTATACTTATTTTAGTTATTCATCAAGAACTCGTTTTTTTATATACTCATTTATTTTTTTAAGCTCAACAAATAACTCCCTCATAAGCTCGATAAAACTAATTAGATTAAAAAAATATCACTCAATCATACTACTCATTAGTTTGCTCGCAAGATTCATTTGGCTAGAAAATGAATAGTTCAACAGTACTAATTTTAATTTGTTTGATAAATGTCATTTGGTTAGAAGTCAAATAACTAGATCATACGAATCATTAATCCGTTTAATAATGACTCAGATTATCATCATATGAAACATATGAAACATATGAAATGAACAAGAACTAAATATATGAGCAAAAAGCCAGACTGGGAAACAAATCAAGCTCAAACATGAACACAATGCTGCTCAACCCAGCTCGATTCGTTTGCAGCCTTAGTAAATCATAAGTCCACAGATATGTGAGGCAAATTAGCACTTCACTCAATATAACCAGGGTCAGAAAGACAACTTCTCTCAATTTCATTTATGGAGCAGGGGAAAATAAAGAACTGCTTCAAACTATCTACTAATACATGAGGCCCTATCTATCTCGTGACACTAGTAATTTCAAATTTATGACTCCCATCAAGGCTATTAAATAACATGCTATCATAAAATTGTGGGCCTATCTTTCACGCAACATTAAGAACAAAAATGACTCATAAATCATAAAATATATGACTCAAGTTAGCGCTCATAAGAGTTCTTTCTTTTATTTTTTGAATGTAATCTATGTTTTCTTTCTTTCATTTTTGATTTCTTGATCCATTCAATTTCATATGTAGTATGATTGAAAGTATTATAAATGTATAACATTCAAACCGAATAGGTTTTGTATTTTCAACCTTTTGGTGAGGTGAAAAGCAAGTGCAGCTTATTTTGAATTACTCTTTTAAGCTTATTTTCGAGAAATTTGCCCAAATTGGATTGTCTCTAATTCGCCTAAGCATCACTAAATCCTCTTCCAATAATAAACAATTGTGCACTTACCTCTACATAATGATTGAGAGTGTAGTTTCCCACCATATGATCGTGGGCTCGAATTACACATATTGCCCTTTGGACTCACCATAACATAAAAAGATAATATAAACAATCTTACATGCCTCAAATAGTGCAAAGATAATTATCCTCGGCCGCTTAACACGCAATAATCATCTTGGTTTGAATTTTGATTTTTTGATCCATTCAATTTCATGATATGCAATATGGTTGCAAGTATTATAAATGTATAACATTCAAAACGAAAAGGTTTTATATTTTCAACCTTTTGACATGGTGATAAACAAATGCAAGTTATTGTTTAAAGAGATTTTGAAATACTCTTTTTAAGTTTATTTCGAGGAATTTGACCAAATTGGGTTATCTCCAAATCTCTTTAGCATCACAAAATGCTCTTCCAATAATATAAGCAATTGTGCACTTACATGTCATATAGTGTTGAAGGTATAATTTCCCACAATGCGATCGTTGGGTAGAATCGCACATATTGTGCACAAGACTCACCATAACTGAAAAAAACAATGTGAACAATCTTATAAGCCCCAAAAAATGCAAAGATAGGTTATCATCGATTGTCTTAACACACAATGATCATCTTGATGCCAACATATGCCTCCAGCTACAACCAGAAGCAAGCCTAGAAAATAGGTCGTCTCCGGGACTGAAATACCTCCCCTTATAAAAATTCAGCGGAACCATTTTGACACTTTTCTTTTATCTGATAACTTGCACTAAGCACCAATTCTGCCCGAAAAACTTTTGGAATACTTGAACAAGATAACATGCTTTTCACCTCTCCAGAAGACTCTTATTCAATCTCTCAGTCAATCTATGGTGCGTACTTAAAGTATGGTGTATAGCTATCCTCTTTACAGAATTCATCAAACTTCTCCAAACAAAACTAAGAACTGTTACCAGTCCTCAAACTTTTGATTTCATTTTTTGTTTGAGCGCAATCGACGTTCAATCAAATGTCCAATTCTCAGGTGCACATGACATGATTCCTTCCTATACCAGGTATAACATCTCTAGAGATGGGTTTAAAGATAGTTCATTATCTAATATCCAATCGCCATTTGAAGCCACGAAAACTTCTGCACTTAGCTAGACAAGACTATTGATGCATCCCCATTTTCTTTTGGCTTCACCCCTTTCTCCTTGGACATTTCTACTTATACGGACCCTCTTCGTGAAAGTAAAAAAAAACCTCGCCTCTCTATTTTTTGATTTGGAGCCAGGCTTGGATCTTTCCCAGTCTCCACCTTTTCGAGTCTTCCTCTTTTCTGACCTTCTTCTTCACATTGCAGAGATTCTCAAGCCAAACAGCTTCCCCGAACTAGGGTAAGATGTGTCACCATGGATGTTCAACTACAGCAGCTCCAACAACTAACTGGATCATATCAACCTAAACATCCATGCGTCAATGGCACAACAATGACGACTCCTACATTTAAGAGGTGGAATATAAGAAAATAAAGATGTTCAATTGACAGCAATCAGTGAATTGATCTCGGAGTTGCAAATCATGGCATTGATGTGAAGAGGGTCATTCGAGTTTTCTGAAACAGTGACTTCTTCAATAGCCTTGGAGGTTTTAGGCTCAAATCCATTATAGAACTTGAGCTGTAGAACATCCTCCTAGATGGATCGAACCGCCTTCATATGACATGCTTGAGATTGTAACAAGTCTAACATTGATTGGTCGGTCTCTTGATTGAAATTTCATCACAATGTGATAGTTTAAGATGGCTAACATGAAAGCATTGAGAAGTGGTCAGTTAAGAATGCTTTAGATCAGCACCTAAGGGCAATTTTGTCTCTTATTTGGCTAAAGTTAATTTAGTTTTTTCTTATTTATTATTGTTTAGAATAAAAAAACCATAATAGGCTTAGGGTTAGGGTAATGCATGAGATTGTTGTCTTTTGAGTCTTTGGGTTACAATTTGCGAGAGAATTCCAACCTCCAAAATTGTAGGAATTGGGAGAGATCGCCTACCTCTCGAACTATAGGTGTTTATCTTTGTATTCGTGTTGAGTTGTTTGGATTATTGAAGAGAATAATTATTTTGGCCTAATTTATGTGTGAAAATCTATGAAGTTCCCTATTAAATTGGTATCACAACAGTCGACTTTGGGATTCAAATAAGAAAGATTAGGTGAATCGAGAGCGTGAGTTTTCACAGAGAAGCAGTCGCAGTAAGTATTGTGGCGTATGGAGTGCTCATCCAGAGATCGCATCGGCCATATAATTGCGAGTTAAGCTCGCTAGAAAGGGACATCGGAAATTAGGACATATAGAGTCCTCCCTTCGATGACCTAACCACGTGTAATTGTCGCGACTAGAGCTTATTGGGATGCCAACAGCGGGATCGCGACATACAACGAGTAAACAGTCGCGATACATTGCGATTAGATCTAACTGCGACACCAACGACGGGATCGCAACATACAAGGACCAAAAAGTCGCATACATTTGCAATTAGAGCTAACTAGGAAGGCTCCGACGGAATTGCGACCTACAGAGGCTCCACAATCCCATTTTCTCCTACAGAGGACCAAAATGTCGCATATTTTTATCTTTGTGTATTTTATGCAAAAATATTCTTATATAATTTGTTTTAAAATGTTATATCTTTATGCTTCCTGTTTTTTCACAAAAAGTTTCCTCAAAACACTCCATAGACCTTCTATAGCTGATGCTAAGGTCGCTATACTAAGTTTTGATACTCTTTTTTCAGTTGACTACGATTCTCTATGAGGTTCTAAGATTATATCCACCTGGAATCACACTTCTTCGACAAACATACAAAGAAGTAAAGTTGGGAGAGTTTACTTTTCCGCCAGATGTGCAACTTATGTTGCCTATCCTCCTACTCCATCATAGCAAGGAGTTTTGGGGTGAGGATGCAGAAGAATTCAACCCTGATAGATTTTCTGAAGGAGTTTCAAAGGCAACAAAGAACCAACTCATCTTTTTTCCATTTGGTTGGGGTCCTCGAATCTGCATCGGCCAGAGCTTTGCACTTATAGAAGCAAAAATGGTCTTGGCGAGAATTCTGCAACGCTTTTCAGCTGAATTGTCACCATCTTATACCCATGCTCCTCACACTATTTTAACTCTTCGGCCTCAACATGGTGCTCAAGTCATTTTACACAAACTTCTTTTACTATAAATAACATGGCTCAAGTCCTTCCATAAACTCTTTGTAATATAAAATTTTATGTCATTTTCGTATTGCTACAGTTTTCTTTTCTTTGCTTTTTCTCAAGTCTTGTTATCATTTTTTGCATTCTCTTACATGAAAAATATTCATACAGTCTATAATCCTTATATATATATATATATATATATATGTGTGATATATATATATACATATATATACATATATATATGTCCAATGTTGTGTGTGTGTCCAATGCGTAATAGGGAGAAATTAAATCTGGTTTATATTTAATATTAGGGGCATTTACATGTATACTAACTAATTTTTATGTATTTACATATCTATTACCTATACTTTACTTTTTCACATTTATACCACCCAAATCTTTCGTATGAAATGGAAAAAATAACTATTTAAATCTGGAAAATACATTTTTTATTTATGCATGCGTAAAGTGGCATATATGTTAAATTTGAAGTTTTCCTGTTAGTCATGAAAGTACTTGGTATTTATGTAAATCTTCCTTAATATTAGTTACAATAAAATGGTGGGCAACTATAATTCATGAAGCAACATTTTTGTTGACTATGATCATTGTAAAGAAACTATAACTAATTGATTGGTTATATGGAATTATATTACTAATATCTTATGTGATTTGGTATAAATGTTAAGCTTATCCTATAAAGATGAATTGATTACCTTGAAGTATATTATATAAAGATAATTATATTTTATCTTCACTAATTTATCATAATGAACATAAAATACCATTATAAAATATATAAATTACTCAAATACATCTAACATTAATGTCAATTTATCCTTTTTTTATAGAATTATAAAGTGAAATAAAACTAAAACGTCTGTAGGATCCAGCTATTGAGAGAATTTTCATCGGGCTTAAAAATTTTCTGATGCCCATGAATATTAACGTCTTGCCTACCGAGCTATCTGCAGAAGGAAAGATATACTAAAGTTTCCTCATCAGGGAAAAATCTTTCTAAAAGGCAGAAATGGAAGGCATGATGATGAATCAAGAACTTAGAAGTTATTGTCTAAGTAGTTTGTTGCTCAGTAAGCTTTGGAGCGAGAGCAAGATTTACAAGTGACCATGAAGTTATATTTTCAGGCTTAACAGCATCAGACCTCCATCACTTAAAATAAAAACTTAAAATCAACTTAGCGAAAGGGCACAAAGTATTAAAAATTGCAAGGAAATGGATCTGACTAATGAAAAGCATGAGAAGCTAATTATCATTAGGGACAATGAAGATCCAATCAAAAAGTTACCATTCATTGTAATGACAGAGATTATCAAACAAGCTCTGCATAGTGAACATCAGATTGTGAAACTTGGAAGTCAGGTGCAAAAAACTAGTGCTGAAAGGCCCAACAAACAAAAAATCAAATATGAAGGCTAAAAAATTATCATCCATTATGATAGCTTAAAATAAATTTTGTAAGATGAATATCAGAGCGTGGCACTTGGACTAAGATTCTAAGAATTCCCTGCTGAAAGAGCCCGAAAAAGAAAAATCAAATATGGAGGTTGAAGCCTCATTAAGTTCTAGTGAAAAAAATCAAAAGCAAGACATCCAATTTGCAGCCTTGAAGATTCTCCATTAATTATTTGTGGGAATGGGTCCTAGGTTCCTATTAATGAACTTCATGATGTTGGATACTTGAGGAATCTGAAGGACTATTTAGTTTTTATTAGTTTAAAGACAATTTAATCATTTGTCATTTATTATCGTTTAGTATGAATAGGGTTTAATAGTTTCGGTTTAGATTATGCCTGAGATTATTATTGCGATCTTAGGTTTAGAGTTTGGTAGAGATTTCCTACCTCTCGAATTATAGGAATTGGAAGAAATCTCCTACCTCTCAAGTTGAAGGTGCCTATCTTTGTATTTGTGTTGAATGATTGATACTCTTGCAATAAAATATTATTTGCCTTACTTTTCATGTTGAAAATTGAATTGGTTCCTATCAAGTGGCATCAGAGCATTGATCCTTCTGTTGCGTCTCTTTCGAGGCCGACCTCACGATACAATCGTGATTCAAGGTAGTTGGGAAGTTGAACTTCATGATCAGGCGATACAGTCGAGATCGATCCGTAGGAGCCCATATACAAAAGGTCATAAGATCATGATCAAACATCGCAATACAGTTGCGATCGACATAATAGCGCATACAGAAGCCCCGCCTACCTCCTGGTCGAACTTGTGATACAATTGTGATCTACGGAATCACACATACATAAATTTTGTGTGAAGGTTGCAATATTGTTGTGATCAAACTGATGGGGAGCAAGCCACGGGAACACAACATAACAAAACTAAAACTCTCACCATTTTTCTGCTTCCATTGCGCCCTAACGATACAATTGTGATTTGAGCTTGCTAAGAAAACGCTGGATCGCGGCGTGTTTGCTAAAGATATAACTGGAGCCAGCTGGGAACTTCAAAATTGCGGCGCGTAACTCCGGTGTTTCTGAAGATCGGGGTGAGAACAGAGAAGCAAGCTTGAGATATGGGGTGCCATAGTCGTGACACATTAGCAATTTGGGCGATCTAGGAAGCCAAGAGCAAATCACGTCTTACGATCTCGTGGTACAGAATCAACCCGAACTAGGTGGGAAACCATCGACATTATTTCAGCATACAGTAGTTCTTCCTTTGTGATTGAAATCAATTTGAGCATAATAGCAGTCAAGAAAGTGGAGGCTTTGGAGGAAAAACTAGAAAGAGATGAGACACATCAAATCTGAAATAAATGAGTATTTCTCATCTGTGGAGGTACAGTTGGAACAGAGACTCGTAGTCTTGGAAGAAATGATGAAGAAGAACATGGAGAGAGAAAACAACCTTCGCCCATGACGAGATCGAATGATTGCGTTGGGAACCGACGCGAGTAGTAACAACAAGAAGAATTCGAGCGACATCAGCGCAACCTCACTCTTTTAGGTGGGTTGGGAGCTACGGTGTTGAGTGAAAGAAATGGGAGTGAACTTGAGCAACAATACTCGGAAGAAATAACACGACATTCAAAAGGCTAGAACAAATGGAAGCAAGCAGGATCTCATGAAGGAAGAAGTCGAGAACGGAGTTGAGCGTCAGCTTTTGTAGAGACTTGCACGATATGATGAGGTTTAGAACGGTTGACAAAAGGTATAATAGGTCGACGTGCAATTCGGAACTGAAGATGTTCGTTTCGAAGTATTTCAACCTGGGATAGGGAACCACGGTTGTCGAAGGGCTGACTTCAACTGCGCTAGTGTCTTTTGATACAACAACCTTCCGGGTAGAAGGTGATTCAGAAGTAATTATGAAAACTAGACAAATGGAAAACAATGAAGGAGTTTGTAAAAGACTTATTTAGACATTGCAGATTATTCAGGAGGATGCAAGATAGTGGTACTTTACGGTGACCTTAATTTATGCAAGAAATTGGAGATGTTGAAGACTAAGATGAGGGTGATTGAGGACGCATTACTGGGATTCTTGATCGAGTGACATAGCATGAAAGGGATACATGATACGAAGTTAACAAATATTTTAATAATCAATGAGCTACTAGATGAGTTGTTTGTGGTTATGATATTCTCTAAGATTGATTGGAAGCCATGACACCATCGGATTCAAATGCGATCGAAGACTGTGCACAAGATGACATTTGGAGATGGTGAGGATTACTATGAATTTCTGATTAAATGGAATGGATTGTCAAATGATGACGCCACGTAAGAGCCATACAACTTAATCCAGCAGTAATAGTTTTTCACCTTGAGGACAATGTGTATTTTGAGAGGAGAGTAATGTCTTGAAGGTGCCTAAAGGTCATTTAGTCTTTAAGGATAATTTAGTCATTTGTCATTTATTATTGTTTAATATAAATAGGGCTTAATAGTTTTGGTTAAGTTATGCATGAGATTATGTTTGTGTCTTAGATTTAAGAGTTGGGAGAGATTTCCTACCTCTCGAATTATAGGAATTGGGAGAAATCACCTACCTATCGAATTTTAGATGCTTATGTATTATGTTGAGTTGTTTAATGTTAATACAATAAAATATTCGTTTGCCCTAATTTCTATGGGTAAATCTGTCTCAAACCCTTTCAGAATCATCTAAGAAATCTCACCACCAACTAGCTTCCAAATTGCACGTGGTGGGTTATCAAACTCTTATTATATAATATGACTTTCATAATTCCTCACTCCCTAATAAAACAAGAATAACAAGATAAAGAAGAATCTTTCATTTTGCAGGTAGTCATCAAATTCAAGCAAACAAGGTAAGACTATAATTGCCCCTCACACTCTGCATAACCTAATTTGTAAAGCTAAAAATAAGAACATCAAAAATTCCAAAAAAGAGAATTAATCATGTTGCTAAGAAGATCAATCATTCCCCATAGAAAAATTGTTGACAAGTTTAAACGTAATTGAGAAGGCTACTTTGTTAACAAGGTATATCAAGGAGGAGCCTATCAAATTATCATTTTGAATGACCAACGTAAAAAAATTATAAATAAAAACAAAGCCAAATATGCATTTAAGATTCTTCTCATAGCATGGAGGAATTACTTCATACCACCGTGTGCTTCAAAACTCGCTTGAAATTTTCTTGTAGCACAAGAATGCATTTTTAAGTTATCATGAAACACTTCTGTAATATAGGGAAATTTTTAGTTTGTTTACTTAGACTTTTTCAAGCCAAGATCTCTAAATATACTAATTTGTTGCTAAAATTTTCTTGTAAGCTGAGATCCCAAAATATACTAATTAACTCAACAAAAGCAGCAGTTACAATCAAAGCCCTATGATCGAGTAATTTAGCCAACTGTCTTCATTATTTTATGACCACGACAGTAGCATTTATGTTCCCTAATAGTTTTTTGTCCTTTGAGATGCCAATCATAGGATATAAATCTGATATGACACAAAACCCTCTGTTAGCTAAGATCGAAAAGAATGAGTCGCCTTAGACAATCATCAACCCAAATTCTACGAAGTCCCATTAAACAAATCATTTCATGACATCGGACAAAGATCATTCAAGCAAGTGGTTGACAACCTCCTATGATTAAGTAGACTATGACCAATGACAACCTGAGACGATACTAAAAAATCTTAATTTGGTTCGTCATCAATCTTTCACACCATGCAAACTTAAGCTTATGGTAATAAATTTTTATAATCTAAAGTTAAATAATGTTACTATATATTGAGCAATCAATTCCCTAATAAGTAGCCCGAATCGAAAGTGCTCTCCCTTAATTAGGAGGAGTAATTAGTTATAAGAGCTTTCGTCAATGAGAAATCTCCAACCTGGAATCTTAATATACTTGCAAAATGAGAAAAATATCTTTGAGTAATATTTTATCTAAAATCTAATATGCCTTCTAAAAATTTAACTCAGAATTTCACAATGATTTTTTCATTCATTCGCGGGAGTCCGGAGCATGATTTTCAAAGTCTCGATTCCCTTAACATAATTTGTTCTTGTATCCTTTACTAACCAAGAAAATCATACAAAAAAAAGACAGCAATGATCAACAAGATATAAAGATTAAGAATAGTCTCATTGAAAACAAACTTAAAGATAATGTTAATAGAACTCTAGGATATTATCAAGATGTTATCAATTTGATAGTTCATTGATCAAAATAGTGATGATGATGGCGTCATTACAAGTTTTCCTGTCTTTGATCGGTTAGTGCTAATAAAGATGATTGGCACCTCAAAATATTTTAAGGACTTTGAACAAATTTGAATCTATCCTGACCAGAATCACTTGAAGCTTGTCAATTTTGACACTTCAACCTATAGTAGGAGAAGCTCATTCTTGTTCTCTCTTGCCCATACATTATCCCAAGTGAACAAGCACAATCTCTTTAAGTTTTTCGAGGCTCCAATGATGGTGACCACCCTCCATGAAGTTATCATGATGTTTTTTGAAGGCACAATCGTAAAATAGGCCACAAACAGATGACAATGTGTCAGTTCCCATTAGATGATGAATATACTCCTTATCATGGATAGAATCTACAATCTCATCCAATGATAACCATGAGAAAAAAGCGCATATTAGTTGCCTTGAATTCTAATGACACCATTCTAGGGTTCCTAGAATGTGTGATAGAACATAAAAAAGCATTAGGGCGTTGTAAGATTGATATCGTGAGTGGGAAGATGAACAATGGTTGATAATCGACAAGAATGGTGATGGGACAGTGAACCATGAGAGAAAAAAGGGTGGTTCATGCTGTAAACAATTGCTGATAGTGGCGTCAACAACTGTCGAGCTGAAAACAGCGGACAAACGGTGAAAAAGTGATGTGCAAACGGCGAGGGGATCCGCCACCTATTCTTAGATAAGCTACAAATACACCACTTGAGAAGGGAAGAAGCTACAACACTCTGGAGAGCGGGAAAATCAAAAAATATCTCTCAAATTATATAAAACTAAACTGAAAAATCCAAAAGCAGACTACAACCTATATAAAGGTCCCTCAAGAGAAAATAACCTAATTAGAAGCTAAAGAAATGGACAAGAATCAAAAAGAAAGGATAAAGAGAAAGAGATAATCAGTGTGATATCTTCTAATCTTTTTGAATTAAAAAAGGCAAGTCAAATTGAGCTATAAGAAAAAAGCAGTTTAAAGAGAGAGATAGCTTTTGAGGACAATTCTATAGATAATCAGTGTGATATCTTCTAATGAGATTTCAAGCGCCTTTGGTAAGGATCAAGCTTGACCATAAAGATTTGGCTATATAATAAAAAATACATAAAAATGAAGAAGTTAAACTTGGAGTAGCATTATGTAGATAACTAGTTAAGCATGTACCGGACAAGTAATGGAGAATGTGGGGGCAAGCTCCAAATGAGAGTGAGTGTCCTATGCAGGTTCTTCTAGTGATAACTTTTAGTCAGCTGGTGAGTAGTTTTGGACGAGTTGATAGGGTTTTTTGGGTAAGTACTTATAATTGACAAGCGATTTTGTAAGTATTATGGGCAAGTTTAAATGTTCAGTATTGTGCATCAAGTTAGACTTAATTCATGGAAAATTTACAAGATTTGTTCTTGGCGACTCAAGGCTTTGGCGACTTTAGACTTTTTGATTTCATAATTGTAAATGGTTTGAGCCCATTAAGAATCAAAGAATTCATAAAGCCAATTCAGATTCTCAAAATGACTTGATCGATCAAATTCACATGAATAGGTGAACGAAAAAACTATAATGGTGAGTAGCATTATAAATGCCAGGAAATTGATAGCAATAATTTAAGCTAATTAGCATAAGGGCACCTTTCAATTGTAACTTACACAACCATTCAAATACGAGTAAGAAAAACTACAGAATATACAAGCATAGGCCAAAATCAACACTCAAACATGGGAGGTTTACCATCTCTGACGAGCAATTAGATGCCTAGCGTGTGAATGCGTAGAAGATAACCCCAATGTAGATGATCATAGCGGCAGGAATAAGTGTCACGAGCGGGACAATGGCGCCAACGGTGGCCGCGCCGGCGCAGCCAAGCCTGCCGAGCTTGATCTGAACGACGTTGACAAGAGCCAACATGAGAAACCCGCAACCCAAGACGGAACCGATGGCCGAAGCGATAATGCCGGCACGAAGAAGCGCTCGGTTGACGCGGATGGATAAGCGATGGGAGGGCGGGCGAACGAGGCGGATGGCTTGCTTGAGGCAGAGAGCGACGAGGCTGGAGAAGAGGAAGGAGGCGAACGAGTATACATGAAAGGAGACCAAGTTTTCGAGGATACGAGGCCCGGCGGCACAGTTTCCGACGGAGACGCCACCGTCTGTGGGGTCGTAGGGGTTCCAGGCGAGGCCGAGAAAGACGGCTAGGGTGAAAAGGGAGTTGACGTTGGTGATGCCGTCGAGCGCGGTGATGTGGATGCTTGTCCCGCTCACTCCGCGGCGGGTGGAAGAAGATGTGCCGCCGGTGTAGCGGAGTTGGTCTCCCTCGTCCATTGTATAGCACTTTGAGATGGAAGCAGCGTGGAGGCGGATCTGACTTCTGAGGGACTGAGCGAGCGAAGACGACTAGAGGAGGAGAGAATTTCGGATGGACTGACTGGTATAGCTGGTGAATGTAAAAATATCGGAAATTTACATTAGCAACAACGAATACTTGTGCATTTACCCATCTCACACTTAAAATTCTCATTTTTATAAAACTGGCACGCTTTTTATGAATAAAAATGTGAATTTCATTCTTAGATAATGATGAAAATGATAAGTAGGAAGCATGATTTGTAAAATGAGAATTTAAAGTGTGTGATAGGTAAATGCATAAGAATTGAGGCTTGTGTATGTAAATTCCACTAGAAAAATTACATGGGTACATGGTTGATGCGGACATATACAGATTTTTTGGGTAATGCGGAGCTCGATCCACCGCATTTTAATTAGTTTCCTAATTAAGAATCTCACATATCGCTCACCTACCTTCCCACCTACCTCCCACCTACCTCCCACTTACCACTCTCATAGTTTCTTATGGTTTGTCATAAGCAAAAAAACTACAAGCCAAGTCTTCTAAGAGAGTAAAAGAGGAAGAGATAGAGAAGAAGGGAGAGAAGAAAATAAAGATTTTCTTGTAAACATCGAGGCGCTCGATGGTATAATTCCTCGAAGTAGTAAAATACTCTGCAGTTCCGTGGAAGTAAACAATTTTGTCAAACCACGTAAATATATGTGTTGCTCTGGTGTTTTTCTGCATGTCATTTTTCTTGTTTTATTGTCGTCTTGTTTCATAACAACTATTATCAGAGTTTTGGGTTCAGATCTAAGGAAGAACGATGGACGAAGAAGAAGTGATAGCATCGGGAATCGATAAGTTCAATAACACGGATTTTGCTTATTGGAGAATGCAGATAGAGGACTACCTCTATGAGAAGAAACTTCATCTTCCGTTACTGGGAAAGAGACCAGAAAAGATGGATGAGGTGGAATGAAATATGTTGGATTCACAGGTTCAGGAGGTTATTCGATTAACCATGTCGAGATCGGTTGCCCACAACGTCATCAAGGAGAGGACTACTGCAGATTTCATGACGACTTTATCAGGTATGTATGAAAAGTCATCAGCGAATAACAAAGTGCATTTGATAAAAAGGTTATTCAACTTGAAGATGGTGAAATGTGTGTTTGTTGCTCTACACCTGAATGATTTCAATACTATCACAAATCAATTGTTATCTGTTGAAATTGATTTTGATGATGAGATACGTGCGTTGATACTGTTGGTTTCATTGTCAAATGGCTGGGAAATCATGATGATGGCAGTTAGCAGTTCTGCAGGTAAATCTAAGTTGAAATATGATGATATCCGTGCTTTGATTTTGGCTAAAGAGGTGCGCAGAAAAGATTCTGGCGATGCCTCGTGTTCAAGTTTGACACTAAATGTTGATTCCAAAGGGAGATCACAATACAAGGACTCAAACAGAGAAAGATCAAAATCAAAGTCTAGTCAGCAGACAACCTGCTAAAATTGTGGCAATGCTAGCCACATAAAAAATAACTGCAAGAATCTTAAAAAGAAGGAGAATGATGGCGCTAATGTTCTATCTGAAGAAATATAGAGTGTGCTATTGTTGGCGAAGACGACTAGAGGAGGAGAGAATTTCGGATGGACTGACTGGTATAGCTGGTGAATGTAAAAATATCGGAAATTTACATTAGCAACAACGAATACTTGTGCATTTACCCATCTCACACTTAAAATTCTCATTTTTATAAAACTGGCACGCTTTTTATGAATAAAAATGTGAATTTCATTCTTAGATAATGATGAAAATGATAAGTAGGAAGCATGATTTGTAAAATGAGAATTTAAAGTGTGTGATAGGTAAATGCATAAGAATTGAGGCTTGTGTATGTAAATTCCACTAGAAAAATTACATGGGTACATGGTTGATGCGGACATATACAGATTTTTTGGGTAATGCGGAGCTCGATCCACCGCATTTTAATTAGTTTCCTAATTAAGAATCTCACATATCGCTCACCTACCTTCCCACCTACCTCCCACCTACCTCCCACTTACCACTCTCATAGTTTCTTATGGTTTGTCATAAGCAAAAAAACTACAAGCCAAGTCTTCTAAGAGAGTAAAAGAGGAAGAGATAGAGAAGAAGGGAGAGAAGAAAATAAAGATTTTCTTGTAAACATCGAGGCGCTCGATGGTATAATTCCTCGAAGTAGTAAAATACTCTGCAGTTCCGTGGAAGTAAACAATTTTGTCAAACCACGTAAATATATGTGTTGCTCTGGTGTTTTTCTGCATGTCATTTTTCTTGTTTTATTGTCGTCTTGTTTCATAACAACTATTATCAGAGTTTTGGGTTCAGATCTAAGGAAGAACGATGGACGAAGAAGAAGTGATAGCATCGGGAATCGATAAGTTCAATAACACGGATTTTGCTTATTGGAGAATGCAGATAGAGGACTACCTCTATGAGAAGAAACTTCATCTTCCGTTACTGGGAAAGAGACCAGAAAAGATGGATGAGGTGGAATGAAATATGTTGGATTCACAGGTTCAGGAGGTTATTCGATTAACCATGTCGAGATCGGTTGCCCACAACGTCATCAAGGAGAGGACTACTGCAGATTTCATGACGACTTTATCAGGTATGTATGAAAAGTCATCAGCGAATAACAAAGTGCATTTGATAAAAAGGTTATTCAACTTGAAGATGGTGAAATGTGTGTTTGTTGCTCTACACCTGAATGATTTCAATACTATCACAAATCAATTGTTATCTGTTGAAATTGATTTTGATGATGAGATACGTGCGTTGATACTGTTGGTTTCATTGTCAAATGGCTGGGAAATCATGATGATGGCAGTTAGCAGTTCTGCAGGTAAATCTAAGTTGAAATATGATGATATCCGTGATTTGATTTTGGCTAAAGAGGTGCGCAGAAAAGATTCTGGCGATGCCTCGTGTTCAAGTTTGACACTAAATGTTGATTCCAAAGGGAGATCACAATACAAGGACTCAAACAGAGAAAGATCAAAATCAAAGTCTAGTCAGCAGACAACCTGCTAAAATTGTGGCAATGCTAGCCACATAAAAAATAACTGCAAGAATCTTAAAAAGAAGGAGAATGATGGCGCTAATGTTCTATCTGAAGAAATATAGAGTGTGCTATTGTTGGTAGTTCATAGTTCTGTTGATGACTGGATACTGGATTTAGGGGTTTCCTTCCATACATCTTCTCGTCGGGAGTTAATGCGAAATTATATTGCAAGTAACTTTGGGAAGGTATATCTGGCTGATGAAAAAACTTTGGACAAGGTGGGGATGAGAGACGTTGATATTGCACTCTCTAACAGGAGCAAATGAACTTTGCAAAAGATCAGACACGTTCCTGAGTTGAAGAAAAACCTCATATCTGTTGGGCAGCTCAATGAGGGTAGTCATTCGGTGGTGTTCTCAGATAGCACCTAAAGGTTACCAAAGGAGCATTAGTATTGGCTCGGGGTAAGAAAATTGACACACCATATATAACTATAAGTTTACTCAGGCGAGGACACATGAGTCAGAGGTGCATTACAGGGAAGCAGAAGAATGTCAGTTTTCTGAAAAGTGGCAGAGCGCCAAGTGGCAGAGCGCCAAAGGCAGGAACCAAAGGCAGGAAAACCAGACTCTGTGCAGACAAATTGTAGAGAACCACAAAGCTATGAAGAAATCTTGCAAGATGAGAATTCGAGCAAATGAAAGTTGAACAAGAAGGAGGAGACGGATTCCCTACCAGTGAATCACACTTGGGAGCTGACAGAACTTCTACTAGGAAAGAAGACATTGCACAACAAGTGGGTGTATCGAGTGAAGACTGCGTTTGATGACAGTAAGAGGTACAAAACTGGACTTGTTGAAAAGACATTTCAGCAGGGGCAAGATATTGCTCATGCAGTGGGAGTTGTAAGATACAAGAGTAACCCAGGAAAGAGTTTGGTGGTACAAGGCTATGTTGGCAGTGATATGTCAACTGAGAGAGTTACTCGTGAGAAGTTGAAGTTGTGCTCGACTTCAGCTGGACTTCTGATATGAAGACAGGGGCTTTGAGTTGCAGAGGTGGAGGATATCATGCTTGAGGAAAAGGTAGGTACAACAAGTAGATGATATATCCAGTAGGTGATGCAGACAGTGTCCCAGTCTCCAAGTGGGAGAATTGTTGTGTAATGTGGAGACCAGGTCCACTGCAATTTAATTAGTTTCCTAATTTAGAATCTCACCTACTGCTTACCTACCTCCTACCTATCTCTCTCATAGTTTCTATAAATAACCTCTTATGGCTTGTCATAAGCAAAAAAAGCTACAAGTCAAGCAAGGCAAAGCCAAGTCCTCTAAGAGAGTAAGAGACGAAGAGAGAGCGAGAGAGAGAGGGGAAGGGAGAGAAGAAAATAAAGATTTTCTTGTAAACGTCGAGGCGCTCGAGGGTGTAATTCCTCGAAGTAGTAAAATCCTCTGCAGCCCCGTGGACTTAGGCAAATTTTTCAAACCACGTCAATCTGTGTGTCGCTCTGGTGTTTTTCTGCGTGCAATTTTTCTCGTTCCATTTTTTCTTTTATTGTCGTCATTTTTCACAACAGGATTGGTGATATTAAGATGATATTAGAGCGAATACCACCCTTTTACCATCTTAGCACTATCAATCCGTACATGTTGATACCGCACTTAACATTCACTCCTCATAAAGAGCCTAAAAGCAGTGATTTTTTTTTTTATTTTTTTGAAATTTTATATGCCTATCATTTAATTTTTCTTTTGGATCAACATGCAAGGAGCCGAATAATGCTCCTTTTCCAATATATATATATATATATATATTTATATATGAAAACAAAAAAAAATTCACACAACAACTATCAAATACAACTGATCTTGGTAGCGTTAGAAATATCAGGTGCTAAAAAATTTTCTTTGGACTTGCTAAACAAACGGAACTTTATCTATATTAAGTGAGAGATGAAATGTTGAAAGTTTCACAACTATGTCTAATGCAACGAGTCATTGCCATCATATATCAACGCAAAATCTAGCAGTAATAATGCTAGCCAAAATTCAAATTCATTCGACGTGAATGTTTGCATCAAAAGAATTGAATTGCTATTAACTTGCTTTCCCATAGTGATCTTATTTGCTCCTTATGAAGCGCGCACGCACACACACACACATTTATAGACACACATACATATTTATAGACACATATAAATACACACCTAGGTGCATACATACATACCACCCAATTATTATGTAAGTATCTAAACTTTATTTTATTTTTTTTTTTACAAAGTTTAAACATAATTGAAAACACAAAATGCTTTCATTTTCGTGAAATATTTTAATAACCCTAAACATAAACAACAAAAATCAAACATTCTTAACACCCCAATAAAAGCGTTGACATAACTCTTAAACCTAGACAACATAAATTGGCCATAAAATGAAAAGATTTGATAAAATTTTTAGGAGGGTAGAAAAATGGTCGTTTACCTCTCGGAAAGAAAGGGAGCCATCAAAGTTATGTGAATCAACGGAGATATATAACGATGTGGGGTTCACGTGATAGGAAGAATCGTGTAAATCCTAGTTTCACTCACACCAATGTAACAATATGGAGAAAGGAGAGAAAACGTGAATGAAAGGCTCATGGTTGCGGGATTAGATTTTTAAGAACCTTGAATCTGATTAATGTAAAAAGTTTCTGACACTAAAATGTAGCAGCAACAAGACCTACTAATAATCTGACACTATTAAGTGAAAAGTGATGTGTCTCACATTCATAACGTTGTTTCATATGTAGATTATTTGCATTGGACATTGCCGACACAACTTCATATGGTAATGATATTAAACCAAATTTGGACTCAAATTAGACACAAAATAGCGCATTCAAAATTTTTGGATGCTAATTTAGGCACTATTTGGATGCCAACTCTGACGCCATTTGCCTGTATTTCTATATTGTTGGATGATTGGAAATCTTATCTTTTACTTTCTCTCATAGAAAATCAAGTAGTGAGGACCTATTAAACACTAAATTCTTATTAAAACTTTCTTTTCAGCTAGCCTACCGATAAACTTGAGTGTAGATCTTCTCTATTACTTACTCTTAGAGGTGTTTTTCATGATAACTCTATGTAATTATAGCCACCAAAGCTTCTTTATCAACATGCTTTCTAAGATTTTTCCTTCTGTAAATTAATTCTTCTTCTTAAACCATCATATATAGTCAGTGGTAAGGAAAATTTTAAATTCCTCTTATATGCAAAAAATTTGAGAAAGATGGGTGTTAGAAATTTTTTTTTTGGATGTATAAAAAATGATTCAAAAAATGAATTGTCAGTTATATTCATACCCAGTACGTTAACATGTATCTTCTTTTGGGGCAATAATTAGGGATTTTTTCTTAGCTTGACCTATCTCCCTTAAAATATAAAATCAAATGAATAATAAATAAATTGTATTTATTAAAATTATGACTAAGATGTTGATATGAATAAAATTTTACAATAAGTTAATCTTATGGCTCCTTAACTTGGAATTATTGAATATAAATGGTTTTGAAACATTAAGTTCTAGAAAATGCATAATTGAAGAGAGTTTATCATCAAAATATTGCATGATAATCTCATACAAAAATAAATAAATAAAATTAAGAATAGGCCATATGAAGCATAGTTTAATATGTGAAAATTTAGAATGAAGAAAAGTTATATATGAGGCCTAAATAATTATATTATTGCTTATTGGAGGTTATAAATGACATAATTTTTCATAACTAGGCAAGTCATTAAAATAAGGTAATATAAATGAATAATGGAGGATTTGTTCTATGATGTAAGTTGAAGAAGCTATATGGTGTTATGGTTATCTTTAAAATTTTAGCGGAGATATGTTCGATTATTGCCCTTAAGAATGAGGATTTAAATCTAAGAAGATGAGCATGAGACTTGGTGTTAATGTTAAATGTCGACCTTAGTGTAATTTTTAAACACCGACATTGAGGATGCTGGCATGGGATGTTCTTTTTTGAGGCACAGGCATACACCAATTTGGTATTGATGGAATGCATCAAACTTAGTAGCAATCGTTCAACATTAATGAGGATGATGTGCATTGACTTTATTGGAGATAATGAACATCAATATTAGTCTCAGTATTGTGTATCTGTCTTATTTGCGGTGTGTATTGATTTTAATACCTATAACATCAAATTTATTGGTGGTAGCATATATCAATGTTGGTGTGAACTTCGTGCCTTGATCTTATTGGTAACGGCGTATCGGTGATGGTGTCAAATGCGTACATCAATTTATTAGTGATGACATGCACCAACATTGTGTTAATAATGTGACCTTGTTGTTGATGATCTACATCAATATTAATGTCAATAGCATGTATCAAACTTATTAGCTATGAATTTTATCAACGTTATGTGGCAGCTAATAATTGTGCTCTAGGGATAATTACTTAACAAAGATAGTTTTATTGATTATTTTTCGCTGACAACAGTTTTTAATAGCGGTTGTCATTATTATTGATCTTCATGCAAACCTTTAGAATTGTTCTTCAATTCTATGTTCTCTTTCTAACTCCAATTCTCTCAAGTGTATGTTGCATGGGAGACTTTATAATTTTCTAGTGATTTTTCGATTACTATTGTCAAAATCCACATATATTGTTTCAGAAGCTTGGTGTATCTCTTTTGATTAATAATGATTTTTAAACATGTAGTTTTCTTAATAATTTCAAAATTGAACGAAGTTTAGCTCCACCAACAAGCATGGGACAATCATTTGTCATTTTAAAAAGAAAACTAACATGTTCATTCAAAGCTCCACTGAGATAACTCAGGTCACCCAATAATTAAGCAGCATAAACAATAATAGGGCTTCTTACATCATGCACACCATCACTCCACACCAAACTAGCTGATAGAAGTGTCTCCTTGGTTTCTCCTTCTACCGTCACCACAAAGGACTTCTTCTCAAGAAGGTTTTGAAAAGTCAATACTTGCGGGTCAACCTTAATCTTAAGCCCAGAAGGAGCACTCACATCCACCTTATAGCTAGAATTTGAATCACCAACATTAGTGACAGTTCTGTTATATGTTGCTGAAAAATGCTTTCCAGTAGCAATCAGTAATGCAAAAGTAGGGTAATTGAGATCAAAGATAGTCCCATTATTTTCAGGAGTACAACTGTTGGAGTCTCCTGTTATAAGTCTAAGGTTTTTGGTGGAGTAGCCTTGACCACATAAAAATTTCACATAGTCAGCTTCTTCTGCATCATAGACAAGACCGGGCTTTAATGCTCCGAGGGCATTTACTTGTCCTGCTCCATAAGCAAATTCTGCTTCAGTGTTCTTGTTCGGGTTCATGTTGCTTGCTGAAAGAATTAACAGAATTGCATGAGCCATGAAAACGTTAAATAATGTTATAATTTATATGCAACAACTACAGAATATGTGGAGAAGTATTTACCTGTGGTGATAAGAGCAGATTTGATAGCAGCTGGAGACCAAGAAGGGTTGAATGATTTGACGTAGGCAGCAGAGCCACTAACATGAGGGCAAGCCATGGAAGTACCAGAAACAATGTTATATAGTGAAGATTTTTGAATACTAAGTGGAGACCATGCTGCTAAGATATCGACTCCAGGCGCGGCCAAATCAGGCTACATATTCATTTAATTTCACCCCCATATCAACTTAACAATCATTTTTGCAGCAAAACAGAATCTTAATGAATTCTTACAGTAATCATAAGATGAACATATAATCAATTACCTTGAGTAAATTATTTGTGATGGGATGTGGTCCTCGAGACGAGAATGAGACCACATAAGGCGCGAGGCTGTCCAACACTCCCTCACTCTTTGCAACACTTGCCATAGGATTTCTACCAAAAAAACAAAATACTTACTCCATGTGATCAATTTTTTAGTGAATTATTCTTGTAAAAATTAAGGATTGATGAGACAAACTTTGTTTTATTGGAGTATAAAAGGACTTTAGCGCTATCATTAACTCCCAACACGGAGACAGGAAGTTTAAACTCATAGGCGAAATCATTCGCATTTTGTGCCGGCATAATTGTCCCAAGAGCACCTGCAGCTTGCGGCCCAGATCCGTCGTTTAATGCATCGCATATAAGCACGCTCCCCCTGGACACTTTCTCATCCAAGCTTCCTTCAAAGCAGTACCTGCAAAAGTTCCCCCTTTTAGAAAAAAAAATCAAAATTTACAGAAAATTTTAATAAGTTGGCGTGGCAGTTATATACTAGATCATATCAATCACCAAATGTGTTTAGATGAACACAAATCACGGTTAATGTTAGACTAGTATGAAGTTGGGTTGATCAATTGTTTAACCTAGAAGATGAACCATCATAGCCTGCAGATTTGTTAGGAGCATTTGCTGCGTATATCAAAGGGTGTAGTTGTGCGCTGTCGCCATCTGTGTTCACAGCCATTCCCTGACACCAGAGCATAAGAAATATTGCAGATGAGAGATTCAAAATATAGAACTCTTACGATTTTTTTCTTCTTGAAAATGTGTTTCAGAGTCAAAACCTGATAAACTTCACCATTACCAAGCTTGACTTCAGCAACAAACTTGCGGTCAATAGTACTCGCGGCCACCGTCAGCATCCACGGGGCGAAGTTTGCCACACTATACCTGTTATGCAAAATCAATGTGAAAACAAATAAATTCACATAATCATAATCAAGCACCGTGACACCACGTGCTTGCGGAGTCAAATCTAAAGCTGAAAAAGTGAAAAATCGAGGCCCACCTCCATAAAAAGTAAAAAAAAAAAAGAATTAAAACAAGCCTCATTATAGGAATATTCCTTTCAGGTTATTTTAAATATTTCTTGCGTTATTCATGTATTGTTGAGTTGATTTTAAGATATTAGTGTTCTTTAAACTTAATGCGGAAAATATTACTTTAATAACACAACAATAATGCATGAATAACACACCAATAACACATTAAAAACGCGCGACCAACTCGACCGTGTTATATGAATTTTTCATTCGCGTTATTCATGTATTATTTGTGTGTTGTTGAGTTATTATTCATGAATAACACACTAATAACACATTAAAAAAATAAAAAAATATTTTTTAACATTAATAACAACTCAACAACACACCAATAATACATGAATAACGCAAAAAGTATTCAGAATAATGCGAGGGAATATTCGGTCGGGGCAGGTTGGGCATTTTCAGTTTTATTTTAATTTTTATGCAGGTGGGCCCCAATTTTTCACGTGTTAGCTTGAGACTGGACTACGCAAACAGCTCTATATGCGGAGTCATGATGTAATAATTTTTCATGTGCTAGGCAAGAAAAATGCAGCTCTTCTTTTTATGGAGACGATTAGAGCATACAAGTAAGCAAAATAAATTCCACCAAATTGCAATAAAAGTCATAAATACTGTAATACCTTCCTGGTCCGGAGTTACCAGCCGAGGATGAAACCAGAACACCATTCTTGGAAGCGTGGAAGCTTCCAATGGCAATCGGATCAGAGAAGTAATCGACAGCAAAGCTTGAGCCGATTGAAATGGAAATGATGTCGACGCCGTCTGCAATGGCATCGTCGAAGCCGGCGAGGAGGTCAACGTCAGAGCATATCCCAACAGACTTTGTAGACGGCGAGCCGAGCCGAAGGCACGGCGCCTCGAGCAGTGCCGGCGGCGAGGCCGGAGAGGCTGGCATTAGAGACCGAACGACCGGCGGCGGTGGAGGAGGTGTGAGAGCCGTGGCCGGCGGTGTCGCGTGGGGAGGGGATGTTGCCTGCGCTTATATTTCCTTGAAGGTGGTAGTAGCGAGCTCCAATGATCTTGCTGGTTATGAAAGGTTAATTTTGGTAAAAATTGGGCTATTACTAGGCTTGACTAAGAGTAATACTATAGGACTGCTGCAATAAAAATCTAATCTTTATAGGGTATAATCAGAATCATCTCTAGCTTCACTTAGAACTAAACTAATTTATTGAATTCGTGCTAGCTTGAGCTCTAATTTAGCGTCTATTTCTGATAAATCGATTAAAATTAATCTGTTGATAAACTAAGTGTGGTGGCTATTGCAAATTTTTTTTTCTTGGAAAAGCCAGACCGCTGTGCAGTGTGAAAATGTTGTTTTCAGCATTTTCAAAACACATAAGCTGCCAAAACGCAGTTTACTAAAACAGATCAGATACATTTTCAAAACGTCACCGCATCAAATAAGCTACCCCAAACGAAACATTTGATTTGAATTATTGATAAAAGAAGTAATCTTGATTCACATGTAATTATCAAATATAAAAATAAAAAAAAAAATAGGGGGAAAAAAAAAAAAAAAAAACCACTTGTGATTAAGGAAGAGACAGAAAATTTTTCAATATTTTAAATAATTATTGTATTATAATAAATTTTAAATATATTTATATTAATAATTTTTAAACCAAAGGTTGGCCGACTTAAACTTCAGCCATAAATCAGGCTCATGATCTGTTGATTTTGACCCATATATTAGAAAAAATAATTAGGCCAATACAATTCACATAAATAAAAAAAAATATTTTAAATATAAGTTAATTTGACTATAGTTGTTTTTCATTAAATAATTCATGAGTACCGATAATTTTTTTTATTCTGCATTATTATGCATTATTAACCCCTTTAGCTTCAATGAATAGACCAATACATAAAAATATACATAACAGAATATCAACTCATGCAGGCTCATAATTATAGCTAGTTCAGTATTATCTAGTGTTGTAAACTACTCAAATTGAGTTTTTCATTCCCTTAATTAATCTAGTTCGAGTTTGGGAACGAATTTAACTCTACGAATTTGAGCTGGCTCACTAACGGGCTTGATTAATATGAAATATAAAAATATATATTAATTTAAATTAGTATTATAATGAAATAATAAATAAAATTAGTATTTATGAGATAATTAATAACAATGAATTTGATATAAAATGATAAATTTCATTACTTAGATATTTTAATAATTTAAAGAAATTTTTTGAATTTAATATATTTTAAGTATAATTTTTATTAATTATTTTTTAAAAGAAGTAGCTCACAAGCTAATAAGTCAAGTTGGGACAAGCTTGAGCTTCTTTCATTAGCTCATCGAGCTCAATTCAAAAGCCCCTCATCGAATCGAGCAGGAAACAAACAACTCACGAGCTCGCTTGGCTCACTTACACCCTAATTATCTATATAAGAAAAATAGGGCAAAAAATAATGAAATTAAAGAGCACTTCACCTCAAACCCACAAAATCTTACTTGTTACAAGTGAAGTTGTGGTTGGACGTCTGGCAAGTGCCTTTCCACTTGTGTGGTGGCTGGCCAAAGCCGGCGTCATCGAAGCTTTTAGATTCCGGCCAAATGCCGGTGTCTAGCATGCCAACAATAACATCGGACTCGAAATCATTATGAGGCGCGCTCGCCGGGAAGCCGATGAAGCTCCATGATCTCGTGGTATGAAGCTCTCTTTGCTGGCTGGGGAAGACAGACACCACCTCATCCATACCTGAAAAATAAATAGTTATAAATATTGACATTTGATGGATTTGCTGATTCTAATACTCTCGGCTGAATTACCAGATAACTTCTTCGCTTCTGCATCAGATAGCATGGCTGCTAAGGCATTGAAGCTTCTGGTGTAACTATGGATTAGGCGTTCTGATGCATCATCACTGCAGCCCATTTGACATTAAAAAATTTGAAAATTATGACATATATATATATATTTAATTGATAATATAGTGATTAATCTAAATTAAATGCTAAAATTAGTTAAGTCCTTTTAATTTGTTTTGGATTATAAGTATGAAATGTGACATCACGGCATTATTTTACCAGGGGAAGAAAATGACATGCAATGATTTTCACAATCAGATAATTTAACTTTTTAGCTCTTATATAATTACGTTTGGATTACGTTAGACTTCTATATATAGAAAATTTCTAGTGGCCTGTATGCAATTGCTAGTCTAAAGGTGTAAATGAGTCATGTTCGGCTTGTTTATATTTCGAGCTCAAAAAGTATGTTCGTTTTACTTAGCGAGCCGAACTCGAGGCGTTCATGAACAAAAAGTCACTTTGAGAACACTAATCAAGTAGCCATAAAATGTTAAAGATTAGTACAAGATTTAAAACATCATTTGAATCTAATTTAATAGTTTTTATTCTATTTTCTTAATTAAAACTTTTAATTGATTATAAATTTTTGTAGCTTTGTATTCAATTTGCAATTAAGTTTTTTTAAAAAGACTACTCATCAAATATATATATAAAATTGATTAGCAGTATTTCGAGCCCAAATGAGCCGAACACGAAGGAACAAATATTTATTCGTGTTATTCGTGTTCAGCTCTTTAATTTAGCGAACGAACCAAACTCGAGCTTCTTAACGAGCCGAACACGAGTTGTTCGCGAACAACGAGCCCTTTGGACAACCCTAATTGCTACTGCATTTAAGTCTATATAAAATTCTAATTTTGCATGCTTCGGTCAGTCAAATAATTTTTATTTTATTTTATTTCGGTCCTACTTTCTTATTTTGTATAATTCCTCACTATTTTCAAAAATACCCCACTAATCTATAAATATAATATAACGGATTACTTTTTAAGTGCTTTTAATTTTGGCAATTAAAATTTATAAATAAAATTGCTAAAGATGGATTAATAATACACAAATAATTTTGCCATCCGTGTATAAAGTAATTAGACATGAATCAGATGCATAAATAAATTTATTTTTTGTAGAAATAAAAATAAATAAATTATAAACTATATGATTAAAATAAGTGATTTTATATAAATAAGTTGTAATAAACATTACAATAAGATTATTAGCTGTGTTCTAACTCATTAATTACCTCGTAATTACTTGATTAAGCAGACTTCTATGAGATGATTGTATGAACACATCGTCCTTCCTCAGCCGCTCGCCCATGTACACAATATACGCCTGAAGAAGTTAGTCGTAATTAGTACTAATGACTGATTAAGAATAAAACTAAGCAACTAAATCCATGCTTGCCTTCTTCTCCTGCTTCGCGGCCTCTGCATGGCCTGTGAGAGCTGCCACGCAAAGCAACGCATGGAAGAGAAGAAGGCATAGAGAGAGAAAGGGAAGAGAGTAGGGAGACATGGCTAATTTTCAGTCTCAGGTGGTGTAGAGTTTTGAAGATAAATGTAAGGTATTTAATGGAGTTAGAGAATGATTAATGAAATAATTATTAATATTAATTGTTTCCTCATCGTTAGGTTTTTGATTCAGTCATCGTTATTAACTTAGCGGATTTTCTTTTTTACTTGCTTGGACTGAAACATGTGGATAAGTTGCTCCGCAACGTTGAAAGCTGCGGCGGCGATTTATCAGCATGTGGAAATAAGCTTGTGTTAATTATGTAAATTCATAGGAATTGAGTGGTTTGTATGTAAATCTTTCTTTTATCTTTTTGGGTAAGATTTAACATACATATCATTCAATTTTTATATATTTATATATCAAATGCGATATGAGCAAATTTCGAACATCTAGCACAATATTTTGGGGCATGATGAAAATTTCGAGATAAATTTTTAATAAAAAATATTTAAATTTATATTAGAAGTCATCTAGAACGCCGATTTCAGCGAACTTATAGCCAAATTGACTGGATTTATGGGACGGCCCCAACGATACCAAATTTGGTTCAGTCCGAGTCAAATAAAGCTCTAGTCAAGTCATTAAAAAATAATTTTAAAAGCTTTCCGAGCATTTTTAAAACATCAAACGTATGTTGAATCTCACGAGCTTACATCCAAATTAAGTTTCTCGATAAGACGAATCCAAAAAGCCTAATATCGTTCAATTCTAATATTGTTAAGGCAGTCAAATGTCCATCAAACACCGTATAATTGATGGAATCTCTTTGGGTCATTCGATTAGAATAATTTGTATTTTTTTCATTAATTACAACTGAAACTCTATAAATAGAGTCTTACCTCTCTTTAAAGGGAAGGGGAGCGGGCTTGAAGCCTGAAGCTTAAAGAAGGAACTTAAGTTGCCTCTTAGTGCTGCAGCGCCGACCACCGTTTGTTGGTTATCACTAATCATCATCGGTTGCTGCCCACTCATTGCGATGAAGCATCGTGCGAAGCAACAACTAATGTCACAGAGTCGCCAAGAACCTGCGAAACGATGTATCATCATGAACATCAGGTTGAACTCAACGATGGTGTAACAATGCACCAAAAAGATGGTGCAACCGTGCATCTCAAAGAAGTGATAACGATGCATCTCATATAAGCTCATACAGCTCCCTACTCGGGCTCTCATGGCGTACAAATGTCAGTAGAACTCACCACCAAGACCTACATTACCAACTACGACTTAGGTGGTCCACAACTCACGCAGGCATCGGCTGTATACGGACGTCATCGCGGCTCTTCACTATGGCTTATATGACCTACGTGGTTTACAACTCCCAAAACTCCTTACTACGAATTTTATGGTCAATCGACACTCCATAAGCAACCATCTACAACCCACCTAACTAACTATTGTCATGGTTACTAACTACAACTTCTACGAAAAGCTGGTGCTGCAACCACCGTCTACAATACTCACGACTGACTATTACCTTTGTGACAATCAACCATGGTCCTTGCAGTCCGCTGTCACCAAAAACTACAACTATATTATTGATATACAATTTTGTAATATCATCTTCCCTAAAAAGAGTAAAACTGTGTACTTATCATTCATTGTAGATTATTTCAACTGACTATTTTGTGTGGTTTTTTTTTCTTTCAAGTGTTTTCCACGTAAAAATCGATGTGTCGCTTCCTGCGCACTTCTCTTTAATTACCTGAGTGTGTGCTGATTTTCATGCAATGTTATGACAATAAATAATCTTTAATCTACTGTTGCAAATCTTCTAGCACACATAAATATCTAAAGTGTCAAATTTACTTTTTCATACAAACCAACTTACTATATATATGTATGAAAATAAGTATTTTAAAAATTAAAATGATGATATTATTTATGTGATATGAATTTTCGGGGGTAAGAATGTAAAAAAAGTTTAAATGTTAGATATATAAATAAATAATAAATGTTTATTTTTGTGTCATACATTTAATTAATGTTGGACAATGATGCACCTTAGTGCCCTGATTAAAATATGAGTAATTTTATATTGTAAATGAAATACTAAATATTAACATTGTTGGATTCAAGATTGTCTGTAAGTCACACCGAAGGAAATAAGGAGAGATAGAGAAAGAGAGAAACTATAGAGTTTTAAATGTTCTCAAGAACAGAAAAAATATAAGAGAAGAGAGAGCTCTCTTTAAAAGTGATTCCCCTAGTTGTAGTTGATTCGACATTACATTAGAAAATACATTTTGCCTGTTGCATCTACCTTGATGGCCTTTTACTAGAGTCTTTTTGGTACATTTTAACATATTACATTTTCTCTATCTTTTCTATATGTTCGGCTGACTCAGTTTAGTTGACTTGGCTCGATCAGCTAGGCTTGATGCGATTCTCCCAAAGTCTCACGAAAAGGTTGGCTCTAACACTGGACACCCCATCCGAAGATACTTGTGCCAAGAGCTCTTGCTTTGGGTTGGCTTGTTCCTTGACTCAATTGTCCAGTCGAGTCATCTCACAGGCTTTGCTGGTTATCTTTCCATTACTCATTTGCAGGGGATCTCTTCAATCGTGCTCCTACTCCGAGCTACCGGATACCAAACAAGAAAATTTTACATTCTACATTTAACTATAGAAGGCATTTAAAAACACTGCACCCAATTCTCATGAATTCACCTATCTCACACAAAACTTCATATTTACATGCACCATATAAAAAATAACATTTATTATTAACATTTAACAATCAAATCCATCCTTTCATCCATAAGCAAAATTCTAAATGTGTAAAAATGAAAGTAATATAGGTGCGAGATAGATAAATCCACAAGAATTGTGAGCTGCTTAAAAGTATTTGTGAATGATCGTCATAAAGAGAAAATATTACGTGCAGAAAATGATGATTACGAAAAATGACTAAAATTCGACCACGCCATTGTACATAATACGTGATGTAATCTCAACTTTTATCCACACGTGCAGACATCATGCACAATATTTTATCCATCAGAAGAGGTTACTTGTTCTGCAATATAGACGTGAAGGTTAATTCATGACATAAAAAACACCAAAAATTACAGAAATATATATAATATGCAGCATAGAAGTGATGATTAATTGATCTTCTAATAAAAATATCAATTACAATTTATAATAAGAAGGACACGCAGATAGAGACATTTTGAAAAAAGAAGCCCCAACCAGCCTTAAATAAATAAATAAAAAGAAAATGACTCAAACAATAAATAAATAAATAAATAAATATTAAAAAATTAACAGCTTCTAAATTTCCTTAAAAATGTACAATTGAATACTGATTGATTAGCGGAGATGATACTCCGAGATCTTAAAATATATTTATCGTGATTTTTTTTCTATTTTCTAACTTTTTATTTTTCTTTAATTTGGTTTTTTTATTAATTTCTTCTCAGACTCCTTCGAAGTAAAACTTTGATTGTTTTAGAACTATCAGCCCAAAATAAACCTTATTAATCTTTGCAATATTGTTTAGGTAGTTTATAAACTCTTATATAGGAGGGTTTGATACGTCGTGAACAAATTTTATCATTTGACATGAATCTCGAGACATTCAGCATAAATCTCAAGATATACGACAAAAAGTATTCACACTCAAATTAAAAATCATCCAAAGTTTTGATTTTTAGCAAACCTAGCGTCAAACTGACTGAATCGATACACCGAATCAATGACACCAAAATTGATTCAATCAAAGTTAAATCAAACCCAGATCAAATCGTTAAACCACTTTCGAATGTTTTGGGTGATTAACTATAGGGTCAAATAGATTTTAAATTTGACGAACTTACATCCAAATCTAGCGTTTCGGTGAGACAAATCCAACAAGCATAAGACCACTCAATTCCAACATCATTCTGACAATTAATTGTCTTTGAAATGTCATTCAATCAAGGGAATCGTTTTGAGCTGTCAGATGGGCTGGTCCAGATTACTGCTTTGTTTATAGGGGATGTCACTTCTAGACTCTATAAATAATTCAGTACTCCCTTCTTGTGGGCAATATTTATAGAGAAAACCCTAGAGCTGAATCAGGAGAAGGAGGAGCTTATTTCTAGAGTTAGTAAAAATTGAAGGCCCGAAGTTCCCTTCCTTTCTAGCTGTTAGCCACTGTCGACCACCATTTACCACCGCTTGCCAGTTGGCTCCTACTCATCGCCATTGGTGGACCTCGCTGAATGCATACTTTGCCATGAATTTCGTGTGGCAACATTATGTTTTATAAAAAACAATTAAGCTTTTTTTGTGGCTATGGAGGGAGTGTTTCTCTGCCCAAGATATATGAGGCAATGAGTAAATCAGAGAGATGTGAAAATTTGACTTTATTTTGTGTGGCTAAGATTGTAAGCCAGAAATAACAAATTGATTTGTGTGAATAAGAATGGGAAAGCAAGAAAATCAGATCTGTATGATTCACAAATAATGACTGTTATTTGAATATGACGATCAAACATCAACCACCAGTTTGGAAGTTTTCAACTCAGGCACAACACATTTTTTGAGCCGTTCAAACTTAGAAACCAACTTGGCTCTCTTCTTCATGACCTAAAATACCAAAGAACAAGTGTCCTCGCTAATGGATTTAGAAAGTTGTTCACCTTCCATACTCAACATCAGTAAAAAGATGAAAGATCAATCCGAAGGAACGCCTGAAAAATAAGTCTCTGCGTCTCATTTTCTTCATTTATAATGGCATTGACACAAAAGTCAAGAAGCACTTAATTATTATGTAATTAGTAGCTAAAAGAGCGCTAGTTGACCACGTAGTCTATAGTGGAAAGTTGTAGTAGGAACTGTCCAGATAGCCTGTAGTTGGTTACATAGCTCGTAGTTAGAAGTCGCTTTAGCAGCTAGATATATAGGACGTAGTTGGTCACATAGGTTGTGGTTCGTAGCTGCAGTAGCATCAGTGGGCCTAAAAAGTTGCCATAGTTGTTAGTTGTAAGAGCATTAATTGGCCACAAAGGCTGTAGTTGAGGCTAGAAGATTGCACTGGTATGCCATACGATCATGTTGATGAATGTCACATAGGTCTAGCCATTAAATATTTATCCCATAATGATGAATGTGAAGCAAAATTTAGTTTTTAATTGGATGAAGAGAAATAAAAGAAAGTGTATGATTGTAACATTCATGAATAAATTATTTCTCTTCCATTTCAATCCCTCGCAGCATTCACTAATTCCAACTATTTCTCTTTTGTACTCTACTGATCTTCATCTAACTGATTTGACTACCTTGTTGACAAAACATGGTTGGTAAGGGGTTTAATATTCCCCAACACAATTAAATACATATCCATTAAGTATATTAGGGGCATTTACATGCATATCACACAACTATCGTATATTTACCTAACACCAAACATTCATATTTACATAAATACCATTTAAATTTTTGATAGGACATCAACATCATTATCTTTTAAAAATGAAATAAATCTTTTCATGCTTAAGTTTTATTTTTGTCATTTTTTTTATTTTCATTTTTTTTTTGGTGCATAAGTTTTTAACACTAACACACTATAAATCTAAACATCAAATATTATATTATATATATATATATATGAAAATTATGTAATATGTATATATAATGGTCTGTTTGGTTAGCTGCAATCTTTTAAAAAGTGATTGCAAAATTGTAGTGAAGAAAATAATTTCTTAGAAAGCTACAATGAGAATTATAAATATGAAATTTTCTTATATTTTCCCCAAAAAAATCAGACAACTTTCTTAAAACTAACCCACTTTAGCGTATTAGTTTGGAAAAAAAAAACAACTTTTCACAATAAAAAATTTCTAGAACGCAGTTCCACATATTGATGTTTTGAAATGCAAAACAGATAGAAAGATGCCTCAAATAAATCCTAAACGTCCCTAAACCATTAATATGATAATTTTTCAATTTTAAAAATCTCACACATTGCAATTTAATATGCATAAAATATCGCTCAAATGCGTAAGCATTGACAAAGTATCATATAATAAGTATCAAAATTTAGGGCTTAGATATATAAATATATATGTGATGTGTGTTTACAAATAAAAAGCACAAAACATGCAAAGTTTTTTCAATGGCTAGAAATGTGGAAAGCCTGCGGATTAATTTGTTAAAAGTATTCTTTTAATTGCTAAATTATGTGCTTATTTTACCGAGCTATGCTTGCCACCAATTGAAAAAAATAAAAATAAATTAAAGTCTTCTATTATATTTATATTAAAATAAGAAAATAAATATAAAATGTATATACCTAAAATAGAATCAATTTTTAATAAAAAAATTTAAAAATATAATAAAACTAAATTTGTTTTTTTTAATTTAATTATTTTATTTTAAATATCCATTTACCTTTATAAATATTATATTTGAATATATCATAATTAAAGAAACTTCCTCTGAAACGACGCGCTTTCAAGTCTTCTCACGACTCCAATTTTAAAATACACGTATTTCTTAATTCATTTTGGTCAAATATTCCTTTCTCTATTGAAATAAGTTATAATCCATAAGCCATGTGGGATTCAAATCAACCATTGTTTTTTCTTTTTCTTTTTGTGGGTTTTACCCACGCACCACCCAGTTCCCATGTATTTACATATCAGACACCTAAACTTCCATTTTTACGTACAGGCCACCCGGGTTCTCGTTAAAGAATTGAGGGAAACCACCTCCAGCTGCAGGCCGACCATCTCCGGCCACCTCCAGCCGGCGATGTGCTGTTAATTTTGCATTTACTATTATATATATATTTGAATTTTATATATGATATTGTACTTTGAGGAAGGTTTTTGTTGATTTTGTTGATGATAGCAGGAAAGGACAACAACAGGAATATAATTAAAACAGAATGGATATTGCAGCTAAAATGTACTATTGGGCACTTAGATACCTAGATACTAGCACTTAGGTGCCAAAAACCTTGCATGACGCCTAAACGACATACATTGGGCGCCAAAGCGTAGTTATGGGCACTTATGCGCCGTGATATTGGGCGCTCACTTACAAGATTTAGGCTTTGGTAATAAAGAGCTTGTTGCCTAGGCGCCAACCACTGGGCAATGATTTATTGAAGTTATATTTTCTGTATTTTTTAAATTTTCATTCTTATTGCAGCTTCACCTCCTATAAATAAAAAATTAGGAGGCTTTATGTATAACAGGAAAATATCACCGCCCTCTCCAAGCCAAAAGAACCATCGTCAAAATCGCATCGGCAATTGCTCTCCCACTGACTGATCACCTGAAGTCGATCGATCGACCGACCACGATGTGCCGGCAACCAACCAACAACCGATCGTTCGACCACCTCCAGTCGACAGACCAATTCCATTCGGTCGACCAAATTGGGTCAGCTACCAAGCAACAACTGACTAACCGACCATCTCGAGCAGACCAACCATGTTGGCCCAACTACCAACCAACAATCGATCGACCGACCACCTCCAGCCGACCAACCACACTTGCCGGACCACCTGACGCCGACAAGTCCCAGCAACGGAAACACTCATGATCCCTCTATAAAGCAATGACATATTTGTAATCTTATCACTGACTTTTGAAGTATTTACATAACCAACGCCCATATTTTAATTTTTACATATGTAACATCTTACCCGTGCATGAAATGTGTTTTTCACCTTTTTTTTAATTAAAATAATAATTTTGTTTAAACGTTTCCAATAACAGACAAAATATAAGCACGCCACAAAACAAAATTAAAAGCCAACTCTAAAGTAAACAAACGAAGATCTGTGGAGGAGAAAGAAAAATCATCAAGGAACTTATTGTTTTGAGTTCTCTCTTCTTCATCTTAGAGGATGAAAGTGGGATTGGAATCAAAGCTCTTTGTAACAAATTTTTTTTTTTCTACTCCTAACAAATAAGCTTGCAAAGCATGAAAGAATGAATTAGGGAAAAAAGCTTTTGTACTAAATATATTTAGACCATATTAAAAAGATGAGAACCCTAGATGTTCTTGTACTGAAGCTTTTATACTAAATGTATCATCACCGTCAGATTGATGATCAATAGATTCAAATACTTTTGATGAAAGACATACTGAAAAGACGAGATACGTACGAGAGCTATATGATTGTACATTTGGTCTTCTAGTTTCAGACTAACTTATGAAGATTCTTGTGGAAAGGAAGAATGAGAAAATTCTATGAAGGAGATTGAAGCTATTGAGAAAAAAAGATACTCTGGGAGTTGTTGATATATATGACACAAGAAAAAGTTCTAATTAGTGTGAAATACAATTCAGATGAAAGTGTAATACGACATAAGACTTGTTTCCAATGGTTATGCACAAAAATATGGTATTGGTATTTATAAAACTTTTTCTCCCATTGCTAGATTCGAAACTATTAGATCATTATTTGCATTAGCTTCACAAATGTAGTGAGAAGTATTTTTTTTTTTTAGTTTGATATTAAACCAATAATTTTGAATGGTAATTTGAAAGAAGATGTATATATAGATCAATAATAAGGTTTCATTATTAAAGGCAAAAAGAAAAAAAAAATTACAAACTAAAAAGAACACTTTATAGGCTTAAACAAGCACAAAGAGTGTGGTCTTGGAGGCTTGATTCATACTTCCAAATGAAAGAATTTTGTAGAAGTGAAAGTGAACCCATCTTGTATGTGTTGACTCATTATACTAATCCAAAATTTTGATTAAAATTAAACTTTAAGACTGGTATGATGAAATAATTTGATGACTCATTTGAGTTTTTTGAACTATTTTTTGGGTTTACAAATTATTCAAGCATACAATGAGATTTTTATATCTTAGGAAATGTATGCATTGGAGTTACAAAAGAAGTCATATGTTGACTTGCATGACCTCTTCAGAACCCATGAATGTAAATAAACAGCTTGTTCAGAATGATGTACAACTAAGGCAAATAAAAAAGTATTTAGTAAAATTGTGGGTGAACTTATGCTATTGACTCACACTAGGCTTGATATTATATACTCAGTCAATCTTATTTTAAGATTCACGCATAATTCGTTGTACATCATCTTGGTGCAACCAAAAGCATACTTCGTTATATTCTATAGACAATATTAATTATGTGATTTGGTACAAATATGTTTATAATTTTAATCCAGTTTGTTTTACTGATAGTGATTAAAGGGGTTCCAAAGATGATAGAGAACAAACAAGTGGATTTAGGGTCTGACATGATATCTTGGGGCACGAAGAAGAAAAGAATTATTACATTGTCATCTTCAAATGTCAAATATATTACAGTTTTATCAGTAGAATGCCAAACAAATTTGATGAGAAGAATATTAGAAGTTATTCATCAAGCCCAATTAAAATTGATGAGGATATTTTGTGATAATAAATCTACAATAACTATGACAAAAAATTCAATGTTTCATTGTAGATTAGAGCATATAGAACTTCAACTTCCTTTTGTCGAGAAGTCATTGCCAACAGAATTAGTACAATCAAGTAATGTTCTACAGAAGAGGAAGTTGCTGATGGATTCTCAAAAGCTAACAATTTACCAAAATTCAATCAAATCTTAGTGTAGGATTCTTACACTAAAGAATTGCGCTAGTTATTAGTGCGAAAATTTTATTAATATTTATTTTAGTTAAGTATATGTAAAATGAAGTGAATGAAATGAGAAAATATTCCGTACGGATACTGCATATCAGGACGACAAACCATAAGGCGCCACATCGTCATACACGCCATCGGTGGGCGACTTGGCACCAATGATTGGCCGTCCGGACGTGCTGATGTTCAGATAGAATATTTCTTCGAATGAAAGATGTGAATGAAACAATTAATCATGAGTGAGAGTACCTAGCTTTCTTTTCAAAGATGTTGTAGTTATCAATGTTGAGTGCTTTGAAAAACTTCATAATAAATTTGAGTAATTTTCTTCTATTTTTCTAACATTCTCTTCAAACCTTGGGAATTGGAGTGTAATAAAATAAATAAATTTTCATAGTCTTAGCAATAAAGATTTAAATAAGGCCATTTTATGATGCCAATGACTGAAACTTTTGCTCTCTTCTAAGATGTCACAATTTGGAGTTAATATGACAACAAATTATTCATTCAATATTTTCAAAAATAAATTAAATATATTTGAATCATAAGATTTTTAATTATTGTGGATGGCAACTGAAGTTTAATCATGTCTCCTTCTTCTCTCTTCGTTCTTTCTTCCCTTTCACACCTCGCTTTTCGTCGCAGCTCTCGCAGGCAATGTAGAGGGGGAGAACAAGGCAAGCATGCCATGAAAATAACTACTTTTATTGTAGTTAGTTAGGAGGAAAAGAGCTGTGGACGTATAACATACATACGGATTGCCAATTAGATTTGAGCATTAATGTACATACAAGGGTGTACTCTATGAGTGCACATGTACGTCCGAGCAAAGGTCCATCCGTATATAACGGCATGACTGTATCCGGACCGTCGTTCGAACGTATGTTCAACCGTAGACTCTACAATGCATTGCATCATGATTGGCTATCTGTACATACATATGCAGAATGTTCTGATTAATTAAGTTTTCTATAATATGCTTAAGAAAAAGCGAGTTATTGATGTTAATTATGATTAATTACGACTAACTTTGTCAGGCATATATCGTGTATATGGGGAAGAGGCTTAAGAAGGAACCTAACTCAATACCATCATTTCATAAAAGTCTGCTCAGCCAAGTAATTACAAGGTAATTAACGAGTTGCATTTTCTTGTGTTTCTCAATTTGAATAACATTTTTTAACATATGGCATATATGCATTTAATTTTAGTCTAATAACTCTTCTGCTTTCAAAGTCGTGGGTTGTCTTATTTGGTTAAAATGTGTAATTATCTACTCTGTTATACTCTGTAATTTTGCTTTAATTCCAATATGATTGCAGCGATGGTGCAGCTGAACGCTTACTGCACAGTTACAGCAGGAGTTTTAATGCCTTTGCAGCCATGCTCACTGAGGATCCGGTAATTATTTCACTTAAAATCAACAAAATTAATTATAAAACAAATTTTATTGTAAATGTTTAATGCCCTTCATCGTAATAATACTCTCATCTCTTAATTCTCAGATATAGATGGGGTGGTTTCAGTCTTCCCCAACCAGCAAAGAGAGCTTCATACCACACGATCATGGAGCTTCATGGGCTTCACACCGAGAGCACCTCGTGGTGCCTTCGAGTCTGACGTTATTGTCGGCGTGCTCGACACCGGTAGATGGCCGGAATCTAAGAGCTTTGACGACACCGGCTTTGGCCCGCCACCGAATGGCACCTGCCAGACTTCCAACCACAACTTTGTTGAAATATAATATGTGGTGGGTGTGAAAGTATTGTGTGGTAGGTGTGGTAGGTGTGGTGTGGAATTATTGTGTGGTAGGTGTGGAATTATTTGTAACCATTGGATTGAAATTGTGGTGGCACAATCCTAGCCATTAATTTAGGAGGTGCAACTAATATAAATAGGGGTAGAGTCTTTGAGTTTGTATCAAACCAAGTAAAGGTGATAAATAAGAGTGAAACTTCCTCCATATGTTTTTAGCCTTTGTCATATCCTAAAAGCATCTCCATTTCAACAAAGTGGTATCAGAGCCTAAAGGTTTCCATTACAGAGCAATGACAAACGGTGGCATGATTTCGTTCCAAGTCCCGATGCTTAAGGAAAGCATCTACGACAATTGGAGTATCAAGATAAAGGCACTCCTTGGAGTGCATGACGTTTGGGAGGTTGTGGAGAAAGGCTACGATGAGCCAAGAGATGAGTCTGCTTTATCCATAACACAAAAAGATAGCTTAAGAGACTTGCGAAAGAGAGACAAGAATGCTCTCTTCCTCATCTATCAAGCTTTAGATGAAGATGGTTTTGAAAAGATCTCAAGTGCTACTTCGGCCAAACTAGCATGGAAGAAGCTCGAGGTTTCGTATAAGGGAGAAGAGAAGGTTAAAAAGGTACGACTTTAAACTTTAAGAAGCCAATTTGATGTTTTGCATATGAAAAAAGGCGAGTTGGTCTCCGACTACTTTTCTAGAGTCATTACCATTTCCAATCAACTAAAAAGAAATGGTAAGAAGTTAGAAGACATGGTTATCATGGAAAAGATTCTCCGATCGTTATATTCAAAATTTGATAGTATCACAACCATTATCGAAGAGACGAATGACTTACAAGCCATGACGATAGAGCAACTTCTGAGTTCATTGCAAGCCCATGAAGAAAAGAAGAAGATGAATGAAGAGATTGCCGAACAACTTCTCAAGACGAATCTCCAACCAACTCAGAAAGATGAAAGTTTCAACAACATTAGAAGCCAACATGGAAGAGGTAGTGGACGAGAACGAGGCCATGCTAGCAAGCAAGGATGGAGTACCAACAATAGCTATGAGAAAGGAGAAAGATCTACAAGAGGACGTGGTCAAGTGCGCTCAAACTCGAGGTATGATAAATATCAAATTAAGTGCTATAATTGTAACAAATTCGAGTATTATGCGAAAGAATGTAGAGCACATAAGTACAAAGTTAATGAAAGAGTCAACTACATAGAAGAAAAAAGAGAAGAAGATAGCACTATACTTCTAGCATACAAGGATAATGAAAGAGGTGAAGATAGTACATGGTACCTGGACACCGGTGCAAGCAACCATATGTGTGGGAGACGAAGCATGTTCGTAGAGCTTGACGAATCAGTAAGCGACAATGTGTCTTTTGGAGATGAGTCCAAAATAGAGGTGAAAGACAAATGTAACATTCTCATCCGTCAGAGAAATGGGAAGCATCAATTTACAGAATTATTCACATATAATAAGATCAAGTGGCTGATTTGTTCAATAAGAGTTTGTCAATCATTTGACAAACCTCAAATTGATCAATATTTAATCTGAAACGATGCTTCTGGTCGATCGTCTTAAGGGCTGGTCACCGCCCCACATGAAATCTCCTAGCATGTTACGTCGATCGTCGGAACAAGACGTCTTTCGCGCCATCGTCCAACGTGAAACGGTCATCAAAATCTAGTTCAATCGGTCATTTTCTTTCCTTAGTCGTTCAACTGTCTTAAGATTCATGCTAATATATTCTATATATACAAGGACCATCAAATTTCAATTTCGACAACTTTGGGTCCGTTTTGGGCAACTTATTTGGTGCGGTATCGTTTTGAAAACGCACCTGACCCGTTTGGGTAAACTGCGTTTTGACAGCTTATGCGTTTTGAAAACGCTGAAAACAACTTTTTCACACCGCACCTATCTAGGTGTAGTGACAGCTTTTTGGTAGCGGTCTGACTTTTCCAAAAAAATAAAAATTTGTAATGGCCACCGCACCTAACTTGTCAGCAGATTATTTTTAATCAATTTATCAGCAGATTATTCAATAAGCTGCAACTGCCCCAAACAGACCGTTTATAATTAAACTAATATTCTCAATTAAATGAATCTAATGACACAAATAGTAGTCCAATTTAAATTCAAATAAACTTAAATCAAATATTTTAAGTATATTAAGAACTTCATAATATGTTTTAAAAATTCAATATATCTAAATATTACTTATACTTAAATTTTGTTGTCTCAATGAAGCATCCTAACAAATTCTAGATTACTTAATTCTATAATTACTAACGGTGTGTTTGGGGCAGTTGTAGTTTAATGAGCAATCTGTTGATAAGAATATTGTCCTGACAATATGTTGATCAGCAGATTATGCAGATAAGTTGGTTGTCTGTTTGAAGGAGCTTTTTGAGAACAGCTGATTTGTAGTTATTTCTGAATAAATAATCATTTTGCCTCTGTTAAGTAATGTTGTGCTGCAGAGCTGTATTCACAATATAATTACTACTACAGAAGCAGAAAATCAATTCATAACAATTTTAAAAAATAAGATACAGTACTCACTTAAAAGTGAGTATCAACACTGATAAAATAAAGAGAAACAATAACAATTACAATTAAAATTATTAAAAAGCTAATTTTAAAGTCCTGACGACGTATGTCATGGGCGCATTGTCCTCATGGGAAACCATTTTACCTCGATCACGGTCGGCAGCGCGATATGTCGAAATGTTCGCCCATCCCATATCTCAACTAAATGGGAGTTGTATTGAAAAGAAAATTTCATATCTCAACTAAATGGGTTCAACTTGTTCCAATTCATATCTCAACTTGATAGCTTCTACAAGCCTCTACAAGCCAACATATCAAACATGCAAAAAATGCCACAGAAAAAAAAGCAATATAGCCGTAGGCTTTCCATTTGTTTTTCCATGGCTTCTATAAGTTGAATTTCTCACAAAACATAATCGTCATTTTCAAACCCCCGGATGAACGCTCGAACCGCACAGAAATTTGATATTTTCAAAGCGCCAAACACACCCTAAGATAATTAAATGTTGAATGAATGAATTGTAATAGAAAAATCAAACGAGTCATCCCGTATAATATTTTAGTATTCTAATTAAAATCATCAAAATATCACTCTTAAAATATGATGAAGAATTGTTTTAACAATTGAAGAGAAACAAAAAAAATATGAAGAACTATAGAGTTATGCCCAATGCTTAACGTAACAATCACTTCTGGCACCTATTTCAGCTACAATTGTCCATTCATCATTGCACCTATGCTATCACCCAATTGTCATCATTTGGTTATCTTCATCATGATTATCCTCACTTGTCCATTGTCAGCAGAATGTCATTAACTGATCATCATCGCCAACTTATTTGTGCTCGATTATCATCCTTAGACCGTCATCTCTTGATCATTATTTCTACAAGAGATCAAATAAGTAATCCTAGCATAATTTGTGAATTATTTTAATTGTGCAAAGCCAATTAAGTTTTGTTCCTTCAAAATTTTTGCATATAAAAAATTTGGTGTCACGTATACTTTTATCTTTTTATTTATTTATCAAACATTAATCTAAATTTAAGATATTGCAAACCCGATAGCATAAATCACAAGAGCGGTCCTCGAAGTACTATCGACACGAGCGGCTCATTCAAACGACAAACAAAGAGTTATTTTAATTTGTCATTGTGATGAAGCCAATCTGAGAGAGAAGTTGGTCTCGAAGATTGTCATACAGGGATTACTCAGTTGTCTCCCCCAATACTATTAGAAGAAGACATGTCACAACCATCCCACCAGGATCCTTTCATCTAAGGAAAGACTATCCGTCAGCTTATAGTAATTTACCCTCTGCTCGATGGCCTAGCATCACCCTGTTGATAAAAGCACCTTGGTGGAGATTGATGGTCAACGACTAAACTATGTTTATTGATCTACAAAATTCAGCCAATCATATTAGTTCCATCGATTCGTGGCTAGCAAGCGTGATAACATTACATATCCAATTGAAAGGAACACCGCCAAGCCCAAAAATCGATGAAGCTTGACGAAGCCCTACTCGGTCCAGCTGGCTGAGCCTAAGGGAGCAGTAAGACCTTAGGCACATTGGGTACAATCCTTACTGAAGTAGGGTCATAAATATAACTTCATATATTATACTTCATTTGTCTATAAATAGGGAATCAATTCATGAATAAAAAAAAAAACTACACAATTCTCTCATTATATTGTTCATTGCTGCAGCTGCTCACTCTCTCTCTCTCTCTCTCTCTCTCTCTCTCTCTCTCTCACACACACACTCTCTCTCTCTCTTCCATTCTCTACGTCAATTCTTGAGTGTGTTTTAAGGGACACATTAAGATTAAACAAATTTATGAATTTGAGTTTTCATGTATATTGGTTGGGCATGAATTTACTATAATGTTAAGGGTTATTCACATACATACCAAACGATTCATATCTATTTACACATCTAACACTTAAAAATTTTATTTTTTTACATTTATACCACGCATATCTTTCATATCACTAATTTAATTTTTAACCAATGAAAAAAATCATTTTATGCTTATATATATTTATATGTTGTGATATAAATATATGTAAAGGTTGAAGTATAGGCATTAGAAATGTAAATGCACGGGAATTAAGTGGCATACATGTAAATCTTCCTAAAATTAATTTGGAATAAAATTAGAAAAATATTTATGATAATTACAATGAGCTTAGTGGGAAATCGCTGGCTTCGTAGCCGTTGTTCGTGACGAGCACGTGACAGCAAGTTCTTGGCTGTTCAACGCAAAGCTCCCCTCCCCTTCCATAATTGTTGACGAGTCGCTGTTGACAACTCATTTGCTGCAGCAGGTCCCATTTCGTTGAAATCGATCTCCGGCCACGTTTCTCATCGCCCATTGGATGCGAATCACGCAGGCTCTTTATCCCCACCGCACCCAATCTTCAATCAAAATTCCCTTCCCTCTGCATTCCCAACATTCGATCCAATCCTTCGAGAAAGTGTGTTAGGGTTCGCATATCTGTCAACTTGTTGCTGTACATTTCGTCGGATTTTTTATTGGTTGTCTTTTTTCATTTGTTGTGTTTCTGTGATCCTTGATTTGATTTGATTTTGGTTCCGTTCAAATCGGCGAAGGAAGGAAGCAGGCGGAGGAGGAGTTCTAATGGGGCATAGAGTGGATCATGAATACGATTACCTGTTCAAGATCGTCCTGATTGGTGATTCTGGCGTCGGGAAATCCAACATACTGTCGAGATATACGCGGAACGAGTTCTTATTGGAGTCGAAATCCACGATTGGGGTGGAATTCGCAACGAAGACGCTTCAGGTGAGACATTCTGTTGATTCCGATTCCGATTTGGGAAAAGATTGAATAGATCTGCTTTTGCTTCCGATGATGCTGAATGATTTATGACTTTAGAATTGTTTCGTTGTAGTGATGTATTGTTGGAAAGTTGTGTCAGGGCGGTACTGAAAGAAGGTAAATTAGTTGATGAATTCTGTTACCGTTAAGTCAATAGCTTTTGGAATAGGAATATCTTGTATGAAAGCGAGTGATTGCTTCATTTATTATGGAGATCTGACAAGCACTAATAGCTTAAGTAACTTTTTTGTCGTTGATCTAAATTTAATCTTTGTTAATTTTTCCTGTGGAATTTTAGTTGAGCCTCGAATCAATCATTAGGAATGTGTATACCAAGCAAATCTAGCTCTCGTTTTTTAGCATTATTTTGCTTTTGGGTTCTGATCGGCTATTGCTTCTGAAATTCCTCATGAGTACTGCTAAGGCAACCCTATTAGCTATAATATTATAAACTATGTAGTTTTGATTTTGCAATCAGCAGATTTATAGATGCAATATGATTTCCACTGTTTTCGAGGATGGTAATTGCCATGCCAGGTTGCTAAAAAATTCAGTTTTTTTTTTTTTCAAGATAATGTGGTGATCATCAAGTATTCATACGCTATCAATATGCCTTTTTAGAGAGATTTCTTTGATCACGGGTTACTTGAATATAAAGTCACCAAACATTACCTTTCCTTCACCTTGTTGTATCGCATTCAATTACAAAAATAAATTAGTTCTGGAAAAAACCTTAGCTATTATTACTGGTGACTAACTCTATTCCTGATTACTGCACATACCAAATCTATGCTACCACTATAGACATACTTCTACAGTTATATGACTATCGTTTGTGATAAATCATAGTAATCATTGCAGCTGTACCTCAAAGACTATCATTTGTGTTACATTCTAGCATTCATTGCTGCAAGTTGTCACCAACTACTTCTTTTACAAGAATAAATGAGGAGAAAGGGTCGAAGTAATCCTTGGACTATTTATGGTGTTGCTGTTGTGGGTGGGGGTGTCCAATGTGTCTCATTTAATTATGGCTCCACAAATGGACTATTTTTGGATTATATTTGAGAAACAACGGACTAAATTGAACATATTAGATGGTCGGGATTAATATTGCTCTATGCAAGTATTCAATGGCTATTTCCTTCTTTTAATGTATATAGGATATTTTTGGATTTCTAATATTGTGAAATGGGCCTTAAAAGGCCTTGGACTAAGTACTTGTTGGGCTGTAGTTGGCTTTAACTTTTTTATTTGCTATGTGCTTTCTTAGCAAGGTTGTGGGAGGCATTGGCCGTCCTTTAACAATCATAATTGGAAAGGCGTGGATCAATATTCATAAGCTTGTAGTATAATTTGTATATTCAATGATATTCTGAGCTTATTGATTAGTTCATCGCCATCATTAACATTAGCATAATTTAATAAGTTGGATTTGTTTTTTCATGAGAAGTTGAGCATCATGTAATGCTTTATTCAAATCGGCACCATAAGTGGAAAAAAAATTAGAAGTTAACATCACCGCAACCATAACTTTGTCAGACCAAGAGAGAACAACTCAAGAAATTTCAAGCTAGGCAAATTTTCATTAACTTTTTTTCTTATAGGGGGTAGTGATAAGGAGGTAAGAATTCATTTTATTTGAATTTGATGGGCCATTGATGATGTTTTTTTTTTTTTGTGATTTTTCTTCGTCTTCCTTCTCTCAAAGCATCTTTGATTTCACTCTTAAGGGCATTGAAGAGAGGAGTTTGAGAGACAAAAGAAGAGACAAGAACCTATTATTTGGCACGATTCCAGTGCATAAGTATTGTATTTGTACAGGAGGAGAGAAATATTGAAAGGTGAAAGAGAGATTGCTTGGAGAGGGAATCCTGTAGAATAGAGAGAGATTAATGTAAATGAATGTAGAGGAAAGAGGATAAATATTGTGGATGGGAATCTTTTAAATTAAAATTTAATTTTTTATTAATCAAAATAAGCTATTTTGAACTTCTATTTATTGAAATGATGTTTATGATTTAAAATCAACTAATTTAAGTGAAAATCTTGATAACTATTAATCATCTTAAGTTAATCCTATCAATGAAATGTAATAAAAATAAAATAATTTCTTAACTGATTCAAAATATAAGAACATTCTAAAAATATATTTTTTGTTGCGGTGCTTTAGTGGTCCTAAATTCTCCATAGGAACTCACGTGTAAGGACTTTGGGAAGACTCAGTGGCGGATTGCTGAATAAGTGTTGGACATCCCTTGTGTCTTGTTCTTTAACCATAGGCCAGGTAACCGTGCAAAACATAAAGCTGAATGTCTTTTAAACTCGGAGACTTGTTGTTAGGGGTGTTGAATTGCTGAATATTCTCCATCAAGAGAAAAGACAATTACGGAGGAGGCACAATGGATAGAAATAGTTCTACTATCAGGAATCTTAACCCCAACAGCCCTTTGGGTTGTAACCTGCGTTACACTGAGAAGCTAAAAATCACCGGCTGCCGTGGAGATGTTAGTTTGTGAAGATAAGGTGGGTTTCATCCATCTCCAATAGCATAGTCTTATTGATAGCTGTACGCCATTCCTTCTTCAATCCTGTAAGGTTGCGTGATTGAGTACAGAATGATTGTAATATTCAGTGAAATTCAGTTTTCACTGCATAAAAGCTGATTATGATGATTAATTGTTATGATATGCATTTCAGAAGTGATGCGGGATTGGTTATACCAGAGTTAATTTTTGTTTAGTAAAGGGTACTCCGTTGGGAAAATGGTGGGAAGGAAAAATGAAGCTTCCACTAGAAACAATAGTTTGTATGTTTAAATTTTCAAATAAAAATATTAAGCTCTCATCATTGCAAGATAAACTATATTTTACATAAAGGTAAGCAGATTGTTGTTGAATAGTATAATGGTCGCCATATATTTGAGCATATTTCGACGATTGCGGTCAATTATATGGTGGATTTATATGGATACTTTCTATATTTATAATACTTTTTTTTTTTTTGAGGCATTGTCTTGCCTTATTTATGGATCCATTTTCAACACCAAAGGTGATGGTATCTTGTCAAGTTCATTGCTGAATAATATAAAGCAGAACTCAAGCTTGATCAATTTTCAATACAGCCTATCAAGAAATTGAACTAGTACTGATTTATGCTAGTACGTTTAATAGTTGGACCAGCATATATGTATCAACACATCATCAATTGGAAGAGGGACCGTGGAGAACCCAATTTATCAAACTTGTTATTAAAGAAGGGGGTTAAAAACTTGATATATTGGTTGTACAGTCTAGTACTTCAGGATGACATTAGCAGTTTTATTTGATACAAAGTTGGTGCGAAAATTTTTTATTAGGATTTTTTTTAAAAAAAATTTGATTCTGTTGTAGAATTTACTGTACAATAAGCCACTTGTTGTTTCTTAAATGCCCATGCCCTGCAAGCGCATCTAATTTATGGGTGTTCTTTTCACACAGAAAGACTTGTCTTGCAATAATAATCACTTCTACATTTTTTATTTTGCATAACATACCATGACATTGAATTGGAAATCATGCTAGCTGCTCTGTTTTTTTGTTGCTTTCTCAGACAATGTCAAATGCCCAAATAGCTCCTTTGTCAACTATTTGTTGGTTTTTATCCTTGTAAAATTAATCCTGGTGCAATTATTCATTCAAGTTATCGTGCTCTCATTGCGATTGCCAAATGTTCAGCAAAAACTTAAGTATACGTGTTTAGTGGAACTTAGGACTCATTATGGATGTATAAATCAATAAATCAGTTAGCACATTTGATTTTAATCACAGATTCTGATCCATGAACGCTAATACTATAGTTTGTATGAAAAGTAATTGTTATCATCTTAGGGATAGAGATTGAGACTTCTAGTTTCTCGATTGGCACTATGGTTCTTGTCAGAAAAATTAATGTGACATTTTCAGTCTCCGCACTCTTTTATTTTTCTATTATGAGGAAAAGATATATCTTCATTATTAACCTTATCCAAAATGTTTAGATAGAGTTGTCTTTATGAATCCTAATTATTCATTCAGTCACCAGCAAAGACTGCGTGATGCTGTAAGGAAAAATTATAATTTATAACTATCGGAAAGAAAAAAAATTGTGATTAGGATAAATTGGGATGTTTTTGACGAGTCAAAAGACAAGAAAGGTTATTCTCATCATTTATGCAACCAACCACTCATTATGTTATGACTAGTTACTAATATTAATTCACACGAGCTAATAAGTGTAACGAATATGATATTTTTTGTACATTATATAAGGGTAAGAGTGAAAAATTAGATAAGATGATGTTCCAAAATGGAAGGAAGAAGAATGAACACAATAAAAATCCAATTCCTATAGTAGAAACTGCACCAACTATTGAAGATTATTTTCACAATCGGACATTCGTCATGATTGTGATCTTCCTTCCTTTCAAGTTCATCTCCAAGAGTTGTCACCCATGCTCAAGCACTTCTGCACATCGGTAGAAGAGAAGACAAGAAAAATATAAAACTCAAATATTGTTCCTTCAATAATCAATTGTTTGAAATCACAAGACTCTTTACAAAGAGAAACATTTGCAACACAGACTTAACTAGATATAATACATTTGCAACACCTCTTCATACATAAAAAGAACTCATTCTTAACTCTCATACATAAAAGAACTCATTCTTAACTCTCATCGGTGCAACATAAAATGTCCCGAATACATATAGTTAAAATCATGAACTATTTATTATTATCCAGATCACATTCCGAAAGAAATTATCATCTGTTCAGATGCTCATCTAGGTCAGTTGACTAATAGAAAAATATCAAATACAAAATCTTCGAGTCACTTTTTCTGAACATTCTCTTTCTGTTAAACATGTGTACTCCACCATATTGCTTGTGGATTATATGTTGCAAAGGGGTAGGGTGATTTCCATCACCACGCTTCCAAATACAAATACAAGTTGGTATCATATTATATAAGCTCATCACTATGTTGCTGTTAACAGTTAGAAGGGAAGACAATCAAGGCTCAGATATGGGACACAGCTGGTCAAGAGAGGTATCGTGCCATCACCAGCGCATACTATCGTGGCGCTGTAGGAGCACTTCTCGTTTACGACATCACAAAGAGGCAAACCTTTGAAAACGTTGAGAGATGGCTGCGTGAACTCAGAGATCATGCCGACTCCAATATCGTTGTTATGATGGTGGGCAACAAGTCCGATCTTGACCATCTGAGGGCAACACCAACCGAAGATGCAAAAACAATGGCTGAGAAAGAGGGGCTCTCTTTTCTGGAGACATCTGCACTGGAAGCACTCAACATTGAGAAAGCATTTCAGCAAATTCTCACAGATATTTACCATATTGTAAGAAAGAAGGCGCTGGCTGCACAAGAGGCTGCAGCTTCTGCTGGGCCTCCCATTCAAGGAACAGCAATCAATGTAGCAGATTCTGCTGGAAATTCAAGCAAGAGCTGCTGTTCTACTTAGGTGAGTTAAATACCCTTTCAACTCACTATTGGTTTCTGTCTTTAATGATTCGGGCTAACTTTGAAGTGACATAATCCATATAGTATCATTTCATCTGATATTTTGTTGTTCCTGTAGTTTTGAAAAGGTTTATTACTTTTTACTGATACTGAAAGAACTTCAGCGAGTGATAGAATGAACAGTGTTGTAGATTGATTCATGTACTGTTGGGGGGCTTTAAGGTACTTTGAATAATACTCTGTTGAATCAGATTTGTGATTACATGATTTGTGTGAAATTAATTTGATGTTCAAGTTAATGAAGGTTTTAATTTGTTTTTTTTTTGATGCATGAAAGGAAATTTTTGGTTGGGTCAATGAGGTTTAAATTATATGGTAATGAGAATTTAGAAGATTACTTGTGAACGTCAGAAACTTTTCTGTTTTCATGCTTGTATTTTTTCATTGTTGTGTGTGGTCTTGACACGTGGCAGTTAGCACGCTGAATTTATATTTTATAAACTTTTGTTATAAATTAGTAGTAAAATAATATATATATATATATATATATAACATTTTGTTTGTTTAATTTTTTATATGAATTTAACTAAAATTAAAAAAAAAAAAATCAGAAGGGCTTCCCCGGCTTAGGTTCAATTTCAAGATTTTTTTCTAACTTTTTAATTAATTCAATTTTTTTTTTTTTTGTATATGTATTTTTTAGTTTTATGTAAATATATCATTATATATTTATTTTCAATTCATTTCAATTTTTTTTACATGTTTTAATTTAATTTCATCTTATTTTTAAAATTTTGTATTTTTATTTCTACTTTTTGTATTCCATATTTATTTTTATTCACTGTCAGCATATTGTTATTATTATTCAATGTTAACATGTTTTAATTTTATTTGGTTTTTTTTCTTTCATTCTGATTTATTAACTGGAGCTGTTTTTTTTTTTTATCTTTAATTTTTTTTCACCATTTATTTCAAATATTAATGCTTGGGCAAATCGTTTTATTTTTTTTTTATTTGTTTTGATGCCTTTCAATTATTTGCGAAATTTATTTTTCCATTTTTTTCCTCCCTGTATTTATCTTGTTTTTAAACCATTCCACAATAAAAACAGCATTGTCAATAAACACTTGCTAACTTATATTGTTATGCCATTCATTTTTAACGGTAAAATAATGTGTATTCTGAAGTTACTTGTCAACTTTCAAACCATTATGCAAAGTAATGCTGTGCTAATTTCTTATATGATTAATTAACTCTTATATTACATTTATATAATGTATTTAAAAAAATAATTTATTCTTATCAAAAGTTAACAATAATATATCCTCGCCTATTTTTATTAATCGAACTAAAGTTTAAAAAAAATTAAAAGGAGATGAGGTGTAGAGCGCATGCATCCTCGAGCTCACATAGTTCAACCATGCCGCTGAAATGGATGATCCTCCCTGTAGGCAATTAAATCCTCCATCATAAGCAATGCACGCTGTGGGCCGAGCCGTCTGTCTGAGCAGTATCGGATTGCTGAGCAGAATTTCAGATGGGCTGTAGATGGCGATGCGGGTGTTGGGCCAAAGAAGGGCCGCGCAGAGGATGCCCATTGATGGCGGAGGGTTAGGATTGTATAACATTCTAATGTCAACACTATCAACACACACACTTGCGCGCGCATATATATATATATATATATATATATATATATATA